AATTACAATCTTAAATCAGTCAATCAAGTATCAAGTAAAATATAATCAATGTGAAGAAGAAAAATAATATAGTAATATGTGACGTTTGATAGGGATGTTTCATGGGATACAATATAAACCATGGATTTTAGGTTTTTGTTGCATTGATCCGGAGATTATGGATTTTAGTAAAAGATCTCTCCATGTGATAATGGATTCAGATCTAATGATTTATCCCAAATCAAGTCCCAAACAAGGGAGAGAAAGACGAAAGCAAGGAGGCCATGACCAGGTTTTTAATTTTAGGTACTTTATCTTAATGTTTTTCGTTCCTAAGTAAAACAAGTGATACATACCTTTGGTCGAAGAATTTAGATGACTCAGTTAAATTTTTTGCTTTTTAGCTATGATATGTATTTTTTAAATGAACTTAACTTTGAAGACGTAACACCCATTTTCATCATTGTCGATTATTATTTGGATGAACTTAAATTCTCTATACATATCCTATTATATTCATCTCGTCTAAACATCTGAATGCTCGTAACGTAACTATTTATTGATCTTCTAAGGAGCACTCTTAGTTATGTACAACATCTCCTTCTGTTCAATGTAAATAGTCACATTAATATATTTCTTTTTTCACAGGTATGACGGTCAAAATTTTCACATTGCTTTCAATAAAACCAATTTTGTCTTAATTTTATTGTGCCTCACCTATCACAATATATTATTTTCTTATCATCTCTTCTGCTGTTAAGGCAATGCCCACTCATCAACCATTGGTTAGTACTCTTTGTTTCTCAATATTCTGTACAGAAATGGAATTATCTGTAATACAAAATGGCAAAGGTTTGCTTGTTAATCAAACTTGTTATTTTCTTTATGCTCTCTGAGTTCATTAGGTTCTATTAGTTTGCAACTATTATTTACAGAAGCAAGAACAAGGGTTAATACATGCTTTACTGCCTGTGTCACTATGCATTGTCGTCGGATCCGACCCATTGCTTGTTTCATGATTGCACAAACATTGTTGTCAAGCCAGAAGACATCATAACACATGAGGGGGGGAGATGCTTTGATGGTAAGGTCATCATGAGTGACACCTAAAAGGGCCCCCTATAGAACATCTAGGGGTAAATAGCTTTCTGTCTTTAGCTGGTGTTTTTCTTTAGTAGAAGCATCTAGCCTTTTTCTTATTCAGGATAGGTGCCATTATTTGTCTTAAGATGTTGTTGACCTTAACAACATCAAATACTGCCCCACTAGAGTGGAGACCTACCTGCATTAGACTTGGACGGCCATGATTCCTAGGTTGTTTGCATCATCATCATCATCATCCAACCTAGTGAATACTTTTCGACATCAAAGTAGAGCAGTCAATAGCCAGAGTCATAAGAAAGCATAATTTATCAGTGGCTTAGCAAGGAAAAATGGTAACACTATTTTGTTTACTCTCAGAGAAAGTTGCTTTGGGTTTGAATAGGTTCAGCTTAAAAGACTCGTTTAACCTCCAGCTGAAAATGAAGTAAAACGAATTACGAAAGAACTTGTTTTGTAGTGGGTGGGGGAGACTGACTACGTTCTCAGAGCATATTAAAGATGAGCATGCAATACGTGGGTTAAATGAGTAATACACCAATGTCTTATTGGCAGCAAAATTGTTTGGGAAAATAGATTATTTGGAGAGAAACGAATTCGGGAATGAAAATAAATTATTGGACATCAAGTCTTGGTTGCATAACACCATACGCTATGGTGTGGGAAAGAGAGAGAGAACATTTAACTACTTTCAAGGTTTTTCTCTAATACACCTACAAAAGTTAGGAAAAATATGAGGTGGTGTATGGTTAATACAAGATATAATTTTATTATTATCATATGATGAATAATTTGATTTTTTTTTTCTTCATGGATATATATAAGAAGTTTTGGATCATATAAATGGTGTATTTTTTATTTTCTAAATTTTTAGTTTTATTATTGATTCTTTATGTTTTATATTTGATATCAAGTTGTTCTTGTAAGCATAAAATTTATAATATATTGTATTAAATATAGAAATAATATTTTATGTTGTGATTGAAATCAAATAATTAGATCTTGTTTAACGATGCGTAACTTTTGATGTCATCTGAAAAAAATCTTTGTTTTGTTTGATATACAAAGACATAATCTTAGAGAAGAGTTGAGAGAGACTTTAATCCTTCAACTATAATCTTCGTTCATTTTGTTTAGCGCCTAGATGTCTTGTCTATTTATAGATGAGAGCAGAGGATCTAGGATAATTAATTAGGAGAGTTCCTCCCATCAAGATTATCTTAAGGAATCGTACCTTAAGTTGACTTCTTTTCTATTGATCAATGTCATTAGAATCTAATTACTTATATTATATATATATTATCCAATTATAAAGGACCATAAAATCTAATGATTCTTCTCCTACATTACCTTATATAGACGTTTGAGCATACAAAGCATTCTCAATTAATCTGATTACTCATTAACATGTTAGACAACATGTACCATAAGGCATTCTCAATTAATCTCATTACTCGTTGACTTGTTAGACAACATGTCCGTAAATCCTGGATACTAAACTATTATTGTTTGTAACCATTAACAGTGAATGCAAACATGACAAATAATTCAATTAGAGGATGCAACTTCTTGATATGTATAACTTGACGTGGAGAAGCTAGGCCTGGTGGAGAGTCATGGAGGTGGTAGAGTTATAAGGAGGATTCTAGGGGAGTTTTCCTGTTGTAGATAGTCTCAGCCGAAGTATAGCCAATACTTTCAACGAGTCTTTATCAAAGTTAATAGGTGCATTGGGTGTTAAAGTAAATGTCAGGTTCTTAAAAAGTGAAAATTCAATTCCCTTTATTTGGTTAGAGGCCAATAAAATGGAAATAAATTTCTCCACACTTTGTTTTGTCTGTTTGACAGAGTAATAGTTAAAGAAATAACTTTTGAATATTTGAATATTGGCTTTTTGTATGAAAAATATTTCTTGTTCATTGTTCACAAGTTAATCATTGTACATCCTTAATTATAAATTTATTAAGTCATGAATTAAATCCAGTATGAATCAGATCCTCAACTATAAATTTATCATAACTTTCATTTGGTATTTTTATTTTCTTCTAATATCTTAAAAACCTTTCTCTCCTCTCAATAAAATAGTTCATGTCCACACCATGGACCTATCTATAAGATTAAATGATTATAGTATAGTTTAATATATTTCCCAAGTTATCCTTATTACAATAGATAGATCAGTTCATCAAGTTGGATTAGTTCAATCAATTCTTAAGATATGGTTCAAAATTATTATATTAGAAGGGGATAGGAATATTTAGGATATAAGAGAAAAAGAAACATCAAATAAAAATCCAAAAAAATCATAAAAAATATAAAAATAATATAAATCATCATATATTATTCGACCTAATTCAATATTTAGTGATTTGACCATATTCTTTATCGATTTAAGTTTTCACTTCACACCATAGTATTTTGCTCTCTCTCCTACCATCGTATCAACCCATCCTACTCTTCTCTCTGAGCTCATAGCGATCTATTAGCCTAAATCAGCATGTCATGTTTCATCTACGGAATTGACCTCTAAATGGAACGATAAATCAGCACCTAGTCATCCCCAGTATATGGTCTTGAAACCTCCATTAGAGTTCTAATAGAGTGTCAGCTAGAATCTAATATAGCTACAATAAACTAATAATGCTGCTGGAGCGCAAGTCTCCATCTGTCGCTCCCACTACTATTCATGCACTCATGATTTCAACTTGTCATCTTTTTGCTTATGCATCTTTATTTTCGCTCAAAGTGCACAAGAAACAAAGAAATGTACATGATTCTTCTGTTCCATCCTTTGGTACCCCTGCAAGTAATAGCCAATGAATGACCCAACTGATGCTGATGATAGTTAAATCCTTCTCCATAGGATGCTTAAGGTCTGGAGATTGCAGTCCTTTTCGTTGAGAAGGAAGGAAGAAGAGGGTTGGGTTTCCATCCCTCTTATTTAAGCCCCACATGTACGCTGCTTTCATTTGCTCCCCAAATGGAAGGGGAACACCATCATTGCTCGAGACCAAATTCTTCTTGCGGCATGGGCCACCATGATTCCATAGGTTGGGTCACATGTCTCTCGCCTCTCAAAAGCCTAAATTCCATGCCCAGGCTTTTCGAGAATCAACAAGCCATTTATGAGCCCTGAGAAAGCGTTTTCGAACTTTCCCTCCTCGGCCATTACATTATCTTGGATTTCCTTCTGCACGATGGTGTGCTTCATGAGTAAACGACACGAACAGAGATGCATCGATGAGCTCTTCAAATTCTGTGTCAAATTCAGTGCGACTTTACTGACGGCATCATCGAGTTTCATAGAAAAGAATTGTTTTGATTCTGTGGTGGATTATAAATGATATCCCAGAATGCTTTATAGAGGGAGGAGAGGCATTCAGCGTGGTACGTGACTGCATGGTTACATACAAATACTCTTTACGTACAATGCTTTTGTCTTCCACGTCCAAAGGGCGTGCAAATCGTTATAGAGAAAAGAGATATATAGTGTAGAATCTCAACCCCAAATTTTAGCTGACACTGATATCTTGCAGCTCCCTACTTTATGTAGAAAATTTCGTCGTCTTGCTTAGAATGAGAGAGAAGGAGAGAGAGATAGAGGGAGCTAAATCTCGTTCTTAATTTTGTTTATCATTACATACATCACTGGTTTTGTTAATGGCATCGATTATTTACATTTGATCATGAATCGTAATCATATCTGGTTGTAAGTTCGAGGATCTATAACGCATGACAGCTTGTGTGCATTCCGATTGTTATTGGTTAGGGATTCATCTTACGGGGAAGCTGTCATAGATCAATATGTTGAGCTCATTTTGGTGGATAACCAAACCCTTAATTTTGGTGAATCTGCAGTTCGTGTTCCGAGGCATGGAAAATATCCGAAAAATCTGAAACATGACGAGAATACTGAAAACATCTCAAACAACATTGCAGTTCGTCTTAAATGAAGCCAGTTTCCCAGGGTTCACAGTAAACCCAGGAGTTTGGGGATAACCCTAGCTTGATCCAGATTTGAGTGAGCAGAGCTCTTTCAGAATCACAGTGAGCAAAACGAGGACGAGAAACCATGTTCGGATTAGGAAGAAAGTGTGTTGATTGATATATATGGTTACCATGCACTGACGATGATGATGATGATGATGGATGAGGCACTTCACCTTCTTTTTGCTGACACTTGCTCTACACATATTGCGAACTGGAACACCTAGGGAAAGAATCTACGAATCCGCTGGCGACGCTTGCAGATCTCTTTCCTGCATGGGTTCAGCTATCTCGGATTGCCGTAGTTTCTGATGATTGTCTTTGATCGAGCTGGTTCCGCATTCTCCTGTCCTGATTCATTAGCCCAACCGGATAGAACATCGGTATCATGGCTCAAGTTCATGCCTTCGGTGGCGAGCAGGCTCCCGAGGCCTCCAAAGGCGTAGCCCAAGGAGTGTGAGTTGTACTCGGGAGCGGTCTGAGATTGGAGAAGGGGTTGGGAGATAAAATTTGCGCTTTGCATGTCGAGTGTGCTTGGATACTGAGCACCGAAGAGTGACAATTGGCACTTCTCGGTGGAGCTTGGAGTAGCACCAATTGGAGAACTTGTTTCAGTAGTTCTAATGGGCATGTTTATGCTGACAATGGTGTTCCCAGAAATAGAAGCAATAGCATGATCAAGAAGTGAAGCGGAGGAGGTGGAAGTAGTAGTCATGGGAAGGAAGGAAGCAGATGGGATTTTTTGGGCAGAGGGCCTAAGGAGATAAGGGGGAATCGCGGCGGCCCCCATGTTGTAGAGGTCAAGCCGAGGGCGGGGAAAGTGGGAGGAAGTGAAGGGCGGTGTCGGTAGGCCAGTGAACTGTTGCACCATCGCGCGGAAGTTGGAAGTGTCGGTGGTGAGGACGGTGGTCGGGGCTCGCCTCGACGCCCTCGACCGCTTCTTGGCGCCTCGTGGGGCGGCGGAAGAGCGATCAGCTTGTGCGGGTGGTTGCACCGAGGAGGGACTCGCTGATGATGATACTGAGGAGCGAGTGGCCGTCATGGCGCCCAGAGTGGTGCAAGCGGAATATGGTTGGATTCTTTTAAGCCATGTAGGGTCGAGGCTGAGAGAATTGGACTCCGGAGGTGGGAAGGGGAAGGAGGTGAGGTACGGGGATAGTGGATCAAAGATGAAGGAGGATGAAGGGCGTTCGTGTTGGAAAGTAGTAACAGTTGTTGGTGACGGTGATGGATGTGGTGGTGGGAGGTTGAAGGAGGAGATGGACTCACCTCGAGAGTCGTACTCTTCGTTCTCACCGGTGTTTGAAGACTGGATGCTCCCGCTGTTAGTTGAATCCATGTTTCGATAGTATACAAGCAAAGAAAGGGAAGATATAGGAGTGACGAAGAAGAAGAAGAGATAGGAGTGAAAGGCAGTGGCTTTAAGAGGATGCTCTGATGAAGCCAATACTGGAGTTGTATTAGTTTACAGTGCTAAAGAAGAGGTTCGATAATACCTGATCTTGGAAATCATGGATGGATAGAGAAGAGAGACCACTCTTTCGATCACCTTTCACCTTGTTCTTTGTTCCACTTTCCGTGTCTTTCCATGGATCTCTCATGGGCAGGACATGGCTTAATGATTTTGCCTTGGGGGGTAGAAAGCCAAAGAGAGGAGAGAGCAGAGTGGGAGAGAGACCTTCTATCCAAAAGAGAAGACAGATTCAGCTCACAGTTCCACTAAAAAGATCCTCCAGAGATTTCAGAAGAGGCGGGCCAACCAAGTGTTTCCGGATAGGTGCAGCCACACATGCACGGAGGGAAGAGAGAGAGAGAGAGAGAGAGAGAGAGAGAGAGAGAGAGAGAGAGAGAGGTATATGCTACACAACGCAATTAACAGATGATGCCAATGAAACTAAATCCCAAGCACAACATCTAGTACTTGCTGTATAATTTAGGTCATCTTCCACCTCTCACTTGGACTTTTCTTTTCTTTCTTTCTTTCAGTATCTGTTTTGCTGCTGATTAGAAAGCATTAGAAGATTATGTACATACCAAAGAAGCATTTAGATTCTTGTCGTATTCAGGAGAAGTAATATCTAATATACATCAGTATGGCATCTAAATCTCTCTTACAGCAGAGAAGTAATATGGAGAAGAAGGTCTTGATAGAGTTATATGAGCTCCCAGGGACATATTATTTTCCTAGACTCAAAATTTATTCTAAGATTTTCCATATCTAAAACAAAATTACTGGCTTGAGTAGCTTAGCTATGTTTTGGCCTAAACAAGTGTGGCTTTAGGCTTAGATTTGTGCTAACTACAAATCATGAAATTTAATTGTAGAATTAGTAAAAAGTTTTGTTCAAAACTCGAGACATCATAATTATTAATTAATCAACAGACCAAGATAAGATGAGATAACAAGCACCACCCAAAGTGATAATATATGTCAATTGGTGACATTTGAGATGATGCACAACACCTGTTATGGATTTTGCTTGTATATTATGATTTCCCATAGTTAACCATATAGATGCATTTATTTATTCTCTCACTACTCTTTCGTTAAGACTGATGCATCTATTTGAACTCCATTTCTATCTCCTAACACAAAATACAAGTTTTTATTATTGTTTTTCACTGAGAATACACGTAAAATTTAATTTGCTTGATTTTTATGGTTCATGCCATTTCTTTTCTTCACTATCAGAAAATTAAATGTAAAGAAAAACACAATCTAACAGGAATAATTTGAATATATAGTGTCAGTTGTTTTCTATCACAGAAACAGATTCTATATGGTAGGTAAGATTGGTCAGGTGGATTTGTTTGGTGGAACTATTTGGCAGCCACCTCCTCAACTTGCTCTGATCACAGATCCATCACCAAATCCAAATCCCCTTCTCTCTTTGGACCTTTGCTTTAGAAGCATGTTTCTTTGTTGCAACCATCAGCGCCATTCACTTAATAATCTCCTCAAAACTCCATCATCATCATCATCTTCATCTTCTTCAATGGTCAGGTCATCGATCATCGCAGAGTTGAATGCATAGCGTAGCGTAGCGATGAAGTCTCCGGCTGCCAAGGGATGACCACTTGACGTGGCACATCAAATGGCTTTCGTAGACCAATGATGACCCCGTGTCGGACAGCGACGTATCATTTGATGCCCATTCCCGTCGCGGCCACGAGAAGCTAACGTGGCAAGCTTCCGCCCCCTCCTGCCCTCTCCGGGGGCATGCGGAGCACGTGGGATGGAGTGCGGGCCGGAAGAGCCGAAGCGGGACACGTAAGAAACCTAACCCCCCGCAGAGGTGCGCACGTGAAAAGTGCCTCGTGTCGCCACTTAGATGTCCCGATGACTCCAAGCCATGGGACTGAGATGTTGACTTCGGACCCCCAAACACACAAGCTTATCGCTGTCGATGATCGATTGGCTTGACTGACCAACCTGTATGAACGCCATAAGTTTGTGTTTATCGATACCATCGTTTGCTCCAATTAGGAATCAAGCAGATGCAATGATGATGCAGACAACCAAACACTTACAGGTGATCTGATTGCTACCGGAAGATCTACGGAGAGCAGAGCGTGGATGATAAAGCAACCTAAAAGTTGGTAGATATCTTGTCAAGTGACTAACCCTGGAATCGAGTTTTAAGTGGTCAGAGTTACGTAGGACTTACGTGTGGTTCGGTTCAATTTCACTTGGATCGTCTTTATCAAATCGGAATCGTTTGATGCATCTCAAGTCAAAATGTCTAATTGATGCGTCTCAGGTTCACATAGAAATGCCATGTAATTCCTACCGGTCACAATCCTTGTTTTCTTGGTAGTAGAATGAGGCATCAACAGGGATGCAAGATACAAGCCATGATCGGTGTTGGTGAACAAATGTGTCAGTGACTGATGAATCAGTATGGCCTAGTCCGCGGATCGATATCAGGAGTCTTCTATCGACTGAATTGGATGCTGAGGTCGATCGGACCCTCGTGACGGTGTGTTGATCAACGTTCCTTGGTCTGGGTGTCGATTGATGACTCGCCGTGTGGACGTCGGTCGGTGACTTCCAAGGTTAGGACGCTCCCGGGTTGAGGGCGATCGCTTTCCTGCCAAAATGACATTCGTCGGATGATTCCCAACTTTGACATCTCCGACGAGCAAGTCAGTTCGTGGGTTGAATTATGTTTTTTCACCCTCCTGGGTTGGATGTCGACCATAAGTCTTTATACTACTGTACCGGGGTCGGTCGTATACGAGTTGGCATGATGGATATACCAAATAGTGTCGACCAGTCCCGAGCTTTCGGGACAATCGTATCAAACCGTGCATCGGTATGGATTTTGACTTAGCATGTGAGGATGCTCCTCTTGCTGATTCTCGGGTTGGCGTGGTGGACATATCAAACAACACCTTAGTACTGATTCTGACTTAGCGTGTCTTTGACCCAAAATATACCTTATTAACTTGGTGTTCAAAGCTTTTCATTAATATTAAGTGTAAGGAGGATAACATATGCTACTATTGTTCTTGCACCTAAGTAGAAGATTTTATTTATGTAGCCTAGAATGATGTACCAATCGATATTAATATCACATCTTAAATTTTGTACTAAACAATGATTTAATATTAGAGAAATTTTGTTGTGATTACATATGGCTTTAATTTGTATCGATACACTTAAATAACTCATTTATTGTTCATACATCATAAAAAGTTATGAATGTTAAAATATTACTATATAACAATACACAACTATTTAATAAGTGATAGTCGCAATAGCGATAAATCATAGTTATTTATCAAATGTTAAATATTCTAAATCTCATTTGATATTTTTTTCATTATTTTTTTTTCTTCAAAACTTCAACTAGTTTGACAGATAAAGATCTTAAATTTTGTCTACGTCATTCACCCTGGTAAGCAAAAATGATGAATAACTAGACACTAAACTAAGCTATTTATGGTGGTAGAACCACTCAACCGATATATAAGTAAGTCCTCCGACTTCCAATATGAACCAATCCAGGATCTTCAAAAGTTAATTAAGTTCTCAACGATCCACCAAAAACACACAAAAAACAATAAGAAAATTGGATTCCTCAAAGTTCACCAACTACTACTCAACTATGGGCCAACTTTTCATTCTTGGTTAGATGGGCTCCATATTTTATGAAAGAAAAACCAGTTGTGGATGGTGAAAGAGCAATCGGTTCTATACATAGCCAAAGATGCCTCATATATATATATGACCTATTATTCACCATCATAATTCGCTAGAATTTTAATCGAGAAAATGTTAACTTTATCACAATCATGCATTTGAAACGAAGTGCCTTATAAAAGATCAAAATTTTGATTATAGAAGTTGATCTTCAATGTGATTTTGCTTTCCCTTTCTAGACAAATCTTTATAGAAATTTAAAATATTGATGCTGTGATAATTTGTAAAGGGGGATAAAAATTAATCGAAAAAATCGGTGAATATCTAAGAAAACCTTTTTGAATTTCTTCTTTTTTTTTCCTATCAATGCCCCCATTTTTCTGATGAGACATATAAGAAATATTTCTACCTTTTGTATTGGACTGATAAAAAAAGATGAATCAATTCGGATGTCAAAAATATTATACATTAAATTATTATTTAAAATGTAATAATTGAGATAAAAAAAATTAAGTTTTTTTAATGTGTTTTCATTTCCAAATCAATAAGAACATATATTTGAAACCTTGATAAAATATTATAATTTTAATAAATATATTATAATTAGATTGATTTACCTTATGGATTGGTTCAAAAAGGAGATTTTCGGATCTTGTCTTTTGGATTAAAAAAATGGGGGCATTGATGAAATAAATAAAAAGAGAAATCGATGGAAAAAAAAATAAATTTATATTTTTTGGAAAATCATAAAAAAAGAAGTGGTTCTATAATAAAAATATTATAATTTTAATAAAAATATTATAATTGGATTGATTCAATCCTATGGAGTGGTTCTATAAAGGACAAAGATATTTTCAGATCTTATATTTTGGATAAAAAAATGAGGGCATTGATGAATTAAATAAAAAGAGATATCAATGAAACAATATAAATTTAGAGATTTTTTTCGAAAATTCATTAAAAAAAGAAAAAAATGGATTCGAGGATGGGGAGGTTCTCCAATCGGACGGTCCGGATTCATCGTCACTCTCAGTCTCACGTCTTCCATCATTTAGAGGCCAACAAAACATCCCATCTCCGCTTCCGTTAATCTCTCGAGTGTCGCAACCGTCTTTCGCTCTCCGGTCTCTGCTCCGCAAGGGAGAAGGGGATGGCGGAGGGGAAGGGGGAGAGAGAGGATGTGGCGATACTCCTTGGCAAGGGTCTGCAGCCTCCCATGCGACGAACGACGAGCATGACGGAGTTCTCCGCGGCCAATCTTGCGGCCGCCTCCGCCGCGGCAGATTGGCGAGAGGGCATCCGTCGCAATGAGCAGAATAGAGCAGCAACGTTTGAGATGCCGCCGAGGATCGTCCAGCGGCGGAGCTTCAACGACTTCCGGACGTTGGAGACGACCGCCCAATTCCTTATGGCCTGCGGCCGCTGCAATCGCCGCCTCGGCTCTGGATCCGACACCTTCATTTATCAGTAAGAAAAAGTTCCCCATTTTTGGTTCTGATCTGATCTGATTCGATTTTTTTGTTGCTTATTAAGTTATATTCTATTGATATAGCCTGCCTGATCACTAGTTGTTTGGAGAACCCTGTTTGATCTGTTCGTGACAGTCGCCATTGGTCTTGTTTATGGCCTACGTGAACAAAATTGACGTCCGCTAGGGAGTAGTTTAGTGATCGTTCCATAGTTATATATTTGGTTTATACCATTCATCTTTCAATATAGGTTAACAAATTTAATTTAAATGTTTCTATTTTTTTTTTTCAAAGGTTCAAAGTTCTTTGTATTGGATCACATCAAGTGTATTTCGCATAGTTTTTTACGGATCTTTCACCCCACACTAGTCTAGTAATAAGGTCTCATAATGTCAAGTGCCTTTTGGGGGCTCGAGATACTTCCGAAAGATATAATTCTGGAGAGATGAGGATGTCTGATAACTCATTAGATGATGCCCATCGTGAATCTAAGAGGTCTTGACTCACCTATTAAGGGTACTGATGAGAACGTTTAATCCCACAATGGGAGCTAAGATATTATGAGAGCAAAGTGCTAGCTCTCTTTTAGAATCCACGAGATTTAACGGGACAAAACCATAGGTACTCTTTATAAGCGGATAATTTCTCGTGAGTTCATATTTCTTTTTTGATGAGAATAAATGACGATGATAATAAAATTATAAGTCCTGACTATTTAAGATTAGTTATATGAATCTTTTGTCGCTAGTGAGATATTTAAAAACTCATATGTTTAATTAAATTAAGAGTATTTAAATTTTTATTTATAGTTTTTATTAACATAGTTTAAGGTTTCACTTACCAAAAAAAAGTTTAAGGTTTCCTTTATCTTTCCTCGAACTACTAATGATAATCATTTCATCATTTCTAACTATCCTATATGTAAATCTCATAGGCATATGTCTATACCATCTTAAGCGATTCTATCTTGTTTTATTGTTACATCCAATTGTATCGGAAGGAGGTAAAATTAAGATTAATTTATAAAGGAGCTGATTGAGTATGTTACTATCAATTTCAGTTTAAATATTTTAGTCAGTGATTTGAGTCGAATGAAATTGATAAGCCAATTAGTCCGTTTGGTCTGGATCGTGATATTTGTCTCATACCTAATTGTTCATAAATAAAAATAATATTTTACAAAAAAAATAGTTTGAGGACTAATGATGACTCCTTGTATATAATCTTTACAAAACATTTTGTTAAAATCCATTACATTTGTATGGTCATAACATTTATAGGATTCTTCTTGATCATTTCTAGCGTCAGCTGCTGCCTGATACTTGTGAGTTGTGACTAAATTAAGGTAAAGATTATGCGTGTATTGCATGCACATGCTAATGTACCAGAAATGACATTAACTCTGCAGAAGTTATATATGATGAAGGATTTGAAGATAATTTTATCAGCACATGAGCATATTAACCATATGAAAGAGCTGATTGTGATTATGAATAGAACTCTTTGTTGTAATGCGCTTTCTTTTATGGATTGATTAGTGGTATTATTTATGGAGCTTCTTTTCAGAATTTTATTATGTAACATGTATGTGTTTTACTTTCATGCAAACAAAATTTTCTCGAAAAGAATGCATTTAGATTCTTTAACCGCAGAAATGCCACTGTAGCTGGTTTCTGAGATGCAAGATTTTTGTTTCTTGAAGTTTTCCTACAGCGGAGAGAAATTTCTCTTCTTTTTTTTTGTTCCAAAGCAAAATGTAAATCTGTTCTGTAGCAGCCCATCCCCTGCATATGAACATGTATAAGCGAGTGCAGGTCCTCGTGTTCTTTCCGACAAAAATTAAACCTATTGACTGCAGAAAAATTGGCCGATCTTAGCATTCCTCTTGTTTAGCGACAGTACATCTTCAGTAACAGTCCCTGTGGACGCTTAATGATTGGCATAATATAGCTTTTGATCTCTCTTTGCATTTATAGGGGCGAAATTGCATTTTGTAGCCTTGAGTGCAGAGAGCATAAGATGAGCCAAGACAAGAATAAAAATAAGCGCCTGACGCCCAAGAAGACCGATGCTTCCTCGTCAACTAAAGCTTCAGAAACACCTGGCAGTGGCGAAATGGCTATTGCTGCTTAATCCGAGCAAGAATCTGCTTTCCAAGTGCCAAACTTAGGTGGATATCAGTTTTTAAGTGGCAGTGAGGACACTCTGGTCGCCTCAAAAGATCAAAGATTCATTCTCTTTGATGCTCTGGCCACCTCAAAAGATCAAAGAATTTTTTTCACTTTGATGCTACTTGTCCCAACATCCATCCCTTTTGATATTTTGATACGATGGGTTCGAATACATGTAATCAGGTTCATCTCTCGCAGGGAATTCCTGTTGTTTTTTGGGTATTAAAATGAAAATTCAAAGAATATAGGAACACTAAAGTCTGTTTTCTGTGATGAACTTGTGATATCAAAGACATTTATACTGTTCTCTACCACAAGTGACACAAGAGTCACCTACTTTTGTTCTCACAGAGTGGCAAATATGATGAACTTCCATGAAGGGTTTATTATGTATCAGTTCTTCTCACATAAGATTCTGTGATCTTTTGAGTTGTATAGTGCAGCAAAACCTTCTCCAAGGCTTTTCAGTGTTGCTTGCAGGGATGTTCTACTGTTCCAGTAGGATCAGCTTACTACTGTTTACTGTCCCTTGATGCCTAGGGCCATAAATGTAGAGGTGCCCACTCTGCCTAGTTTGGTCCATTGTGATACTGAGGAGCATGGATGGAGAGTAGTAACATATCCCCATAGAATCAAATATATCCATCCATGCATCAACATCTGTAGATGTGCATAATATGTGATTATACATGTAGAACGAATGAACCTGTATAGCTTCATCAACATGTCATGCTTTATGATTAGCAAATTTTGTTTGTTTCCATAGGATAATTTTATGCTCTTTTTGTGCTTCGAGGAGCATGGTTTAAATTATTATTATTTTTGTTTCTACTGTAATATATGCTTTTACATTTTAGTTAAAATAAAAATACTACTCAAAACAAGCTCGTATTTAGATAACCAGTCTACAATCTATTGCACAAATCTAGAACTCTAGTGAATTGATTCAAGTGGTCTCTCCTTGTATGCATGTAGGGTTGGAAACTTTGTTCTTTTTACAAGACTTGGGTTCTTACTTTCCTATTCAAACCTATCACAAATCTGATTAATGATATCCAAACTAGATTTAAGAGAATCAGTAATCATCTTAAATTTCTGTTTCCTAAATTAAAATACAATAATCGATATCCTACTTTAGTATCACTATTTACTTCCTAGTCTTGCACACCTTCGTATATAATATATCTCAAGCATATATATTTCTTATTCTTGAGCATGCTAATAGGGAATAATCAATTTTTCTAAAACAAAATAAAAAATTAAACTCCATGCTCTCCCTCATTTATGTTAATCTTCAACTTCGATCAATAGTGAGAGTGGACCGGTGGATGTCATCGTTTATATGAAAAAAAAAATGCTCTTTATATATATTTTATTTTAATTTAAGTTTTAAAAAATATTTGGTTAATAATATAATTATATAATATTCCATAAAAAATTGATATCAATTAAATTTAAATTTTCAATGTAATATAAAAAGTGATGCAGGTGTTAAAATTTAAATTTTGTTAATGTTAAATTAACAAATTGTTTTGAATTTTGTACTACAAGATAAAAAAAATTAATAAACCCTATTTATCTAATTTAATGTTGTTCATGTCTCGACGTATTAAATTAGAATAATAATCGATATTAATTTAATTATTTTGAATCATGATTAATAAACTTAATAAACCTTATTTAATGATTTCCATATATTCATGTGTCAAGTTAGATTATATGTTAATTAATAATTTAATTATTTTGAATCATGAAATAAAAATTAGTAAATCATATTTAATGATTCTCATGATGTTCACATATTTAACAATATGAAGCCATCATAGGATCGAATCTCTCATGCCATATCCAAAATCTAGCTACGATTGACTAAGAATTATTTGAATATTTAATTTTGGACTATCTTATTCATGGTATAATATGTATCACCAATTCTAATCTATGTGACATAAATTAAATCTCGATCTGGTTTGAATCGGAATCGAACCAATTTACAGTCAAAATTAATCGGGTCAAACGGTTCGATGGGTTAAACGAACCGGAAGCAAGACCATACAGTTTCATTTCAATTTCTATAAATTGGAACTGTCCTCGCATTAGTCGCATGTCGCACATCAAAATCAAACTCAAACTCAAACTCAAAAAAGTTTCCTTCACTTTAGTTCCAATCTGGTCATTTCTTATTTTTATTAATTAGAAGACACCCAAAGAAAGATACCACAAAATACATCCCAACGCCCGCAACTGTCCTCGCATCCCAAACCACACACCACATCTCACGCGCTCTCTCCTTTCTCGGAGCGCTAACCCTAGAAAAAGCACGCTCGATCGACCCCGCCCCCATCGCTCCCCCAAGAAACAATTCCTCCATCTCGCTTCCTCTCCTCCTCCTCCTCCTCCACCTTCTCCGCGGATCTTACACTTTTTTTTCTTTTTTCTTTCGTTTTTTTCGGTGTTCATTTTCAGGAAGGATGGACGGGTTCCGTCGGCGGCTGAGTTCTTCTTCCTCCGAGATCTTTCCTGCTGGGTTTTGATTCCTTTTTTTTTTCCTCTCCCGATCTAATGCCTGTTTTCTGTTCTGGAATTAGGGTTTCCCATTCGGTTCCCTCCTGAGCTCTCGATTTCCCCGCGCGGTTTCAGATTGGAAGCTGATCGTCCGGTGAGTTATTCTCCCCTGCAGAGGGCTCTCGTCTAGAGATTGACTCTTGGGTTTTGCATCAGGGTTTTGGTTCCTTGTGGTACTCTTGTTGGTTAGTTAGGGTTCGTGGTGAATGCGTCGGTGGGCTTTTTGTTATTCATCGGTGTTGCATCTTGGATTTTGTTCTTAGTTCTCGTTGACGTTTTCATGATTTGTCTTGTCAAAGGGTTTACTTATCCTATTTGATGATAAGCTGTAACATTATGTGATGATATATTGTTCGCTGGAAGTATTTTAGTTAGTGGTTGACATGATATTTTTCTGAAGTTTGTAATTTGCAGCATACTTAGAGGTTGTTCTTTGGCAGTGGCACTGAACTTTTCGTGACGTGATTGGTGTACTTACAATGTTTGAAATATTTGGTGGTTTTAATAGGCTTTTGAAGATTAGCTTAAGTTGGGGTGCATCCACTAGAGAGCATGTCGTCGCAATATCCTGTGCTTAACAACAAACCCATTGATCAATGGAAGGTTACAGAGTTAAAAGAGGAGCTGAGAAAAAGAAAGATCCCTGTAAGGGGCCTGAAGGAGGAGTTGATAAGGAAGCTCGATGAGGCAATACGCAATGAGATGGCTAAAGAGGAGGAATCGGTCAATGCCTGTAATCCTGATTCAGTTCATGATGATGGTGATCAAGTGCAATCAGAAAAGTTGGTAGATAATCATACCTATGTTGTTGTCGATCCAACTGGAAAAACGGGCTCTGATGCCCTTGCAATTGACATAGATATCAATCAAGACATCAGTTCTCAATATGCCATAACAGCTACTCCAGGATTGGATACAAAAGTTTCAGAAACAAAGACTAATGTGGTTTCACTGGAAGACAGTGGAACTGAAACTCAGACGGTGATTACTCTGTCCGAATCAAGTATCCAAGATGCAAGCCCCAAAGAGATGCATGATGAAGAAAAACATGATGAAGAAAAGCATGATGAAGAAAAGCAAGAAGAAGAAAAGCAAGGCGAAGAAAAGCATGAGGATTCAACCGGCTCCCGTGAGGATATCAAGCTCAACCTTTCGGAACCAGACAATCAGGTACCTGTGGTCAGCCCAGATTTAGGTTTCCAAGTTAAGTGTGAGTCGATTCCTATTGATTCTGTGTCAATTATTGAAAAAAATAGTCTAAAGGATAATTTAAATGCTGATGACTTTCATTTAGAACAAGAAGTTGTTAAGCCGGAGATGGTTCAACCATCATCCAGCAGTGTCATAGGTGGTGATCTGCAGCCTTTGGATGACGATAAAGGGCCAGTTAGTGACCCAGTCACTTTGGAGGAGACAGATGTCAAAAGTAGTATAAACATTGACCTCAGCATGAAAGAAGAAAATGTAGAGGAAGGGTCTCCAGAAAAATTAAACTTAGATAGGTGTTCAAGTGATGAATTAATGGAAGAGGATGTTTCTGATATCAAGCATGTTGACTCCAACACTAAGTCCGAGGAACTGGAAGGAAAAACTGAGGTGAACTTGGAGCCTGCTGTAGGTGGGGAAACCAGTATTGATGGTGGTCTGGGTGGCTCCATGCCAGAAAAGAAAGATACTGTTGTTGAAGACCATAGGAAGCCAGAAGTTCCCGCTCAGAAGAGGAAACTAGAAGGTACTCCCAGTGGATTAAAATTCTATCCTCGGTACAATCATAAGCATGTTTTCTTCATTTTTGTCGTTGAATGATATCAAAGCATCAATATGGTTTTTACTGAAATGTCATACAAGATGCCTATAAAATAGCCATTGAAACATCTCTTTAATTTGAAGCCAATACGTGAATGTAGTAAGCCTTCCAAAACTGGTCTAGAAGTACTGTGCATGTCAATCGTTGTTGCTTAAATATTAGAAAAAATAATAAATAACAAATAATGACAACAAGATGCAATGTCTAAACTATTTAGGTCGACTAACAATATCTTTAGATAGATCAAACACATTTAAATTCTTATTTTATAGTTTTTTGTAAAGGTTTTTCAGCTCTCCCTCTATCTCTCTTTGCATCACTAATGCTAATTGTTCCATATAGGACTTTGTATAACATGTGTATGTTATCTTAGATAATTCTCCCACATTTTATTCTCCATTGGAACCATATCTAATTGTTCATGAATGAACAAAAGAAATCTATTTTTTAAAATTTTCAGTTTCTTCTCATGGTCACCTCAACATGCTTTCTCTCAATGACACACTTTCTATACGTGTCGCTCCTTAATTGCTCAACACACATTCGTAAAAGGATGAGTAACCTAACAATTGTATCATAAGATATCTTTTAATCTAAATGGCATCCAGTGATCAGACAGAACAAGTTACACCCATCTCCACTTTAACTGTTAGGTATTACTCTATAATCAATATCTTCATCAATGTCTCTGTCATGTTGAAAAATTCAGTCAACTGTCAAGATACTTAGAATTTCTTGTCCATTCATTTTAACTGCATCTGCACTTCTTTTAGTATTATTAAAATTACATCTCATATCTTCAGTTTTATTTGTACTTATACAAAACCTTTAATTCTAAAGGTTGTTTGATTAATTTCATTTAAAAGATCATCAATTAGTTTAAATGAAATTGCTTTAATACTTGAGTTATGAGAGATAATATGTTATTCAAAAGATAATAACGGAAACAAATTGAAACTAATATATTGTATACCTATTAGATAAGCATATCCAGAAATACTTCTTATATGTTGTACAAAAGATTCAAATTTGTTCACTTGCAGTTTGGAAGAGATAAATAGACACCACTGTGTTAGTACTTGTAGATAATCCATGCTTTGACTTTTTTTATTTTATTCAACAGATCTGCTTGTGATGTATGATAGTGTGTAAGTTCTTGTTGTCTGTTTGTACAATGCTTTTTCATTTACCTTTTCAGAAACAAATCCATGTACAATGTTGCAATTCCAATTTGGATTAGATGATACTGTATTTCTTTTTCATTCTTTTGGTGCACTGGTGGTTATCAGCAGTATTTCAGTAGTGAACCATTCTTCTAATGATCCTTTGGCCCCAGACCGAGAAGTTGTTGGAAGCAATGGGGCTCCTAAGCGGCAACGCCGTTGGAATGCAGAAACTGTAAAAGTTCCTGAACAACAAACATATACTCTTATTACATCAAGTCCATCTAAGGATGCATTTCATCTGACTCCTAGACGCACACTCACGAAGTCTGTTCCAAAGCCTGTAGAAAATTCCCAGAAGGAACGCATTGGTGAGCTTAAGAGGCTTTATGTCCACTGTGTTTATTCAATATCTAAATGATTTTATTTGACTATATTTTGTGTCTGCATCACAGTGCCACCATCCCCGAAACCAGCGACAACTTCACTGAGAATTGACAGGTTTTTGCGTCCTTTTACTCTAAAAGCAGTGCAAGAGCTGCTTGCAAAAACTGGAACTGTCTGCAGTTTCTGGATGGACCACATCAAGACCCACTGCTATGTGACTGTAAGTCTTTCATGCTAGTTTTTGTTATTTAGTTCTCATATGATTTCCTGTCCATCTTGTTGGTACAAATTCATAGATAAGTCATTTTGGTTTTGGCATTTGATTGCCAGTATATCTCTGAATATGAAATTGACTAGTTCAACGTTCAAATGTTATGTTAATATTTGATTCTGCTTATTTATAGTCTTATATCAAATGAGATTTTAGAATTAGAAGAGGAAGAAATTAAATTGCATTGCATTTATCTTCAGATGGTATCACAAATGTTGTCTCATTTCATATTGTAATGAAAAAATGACTAGACTATTTGGGTGGCTGGATGCAACCTTCTTTGTGCCTTGCATGGGGCCTTGATTGTCCATGTATCCATGAAGTATTAGGCAGATGCCTAAATAGCTGGACACTGCTTGAGTGGTCTGTTTAAATTGGTTGTGTAGTTAAGCGTGGAGCAATTCATGTCTTCTGCCTTTAGTCCACTCTGAAAGTCTACAAGTATCCTATATTGGATCTCCATTTGTGACTCTTCAAATTTTGCATCTCCATTTGTAACTCAAACTTAAAAGCTCTGTTTTGCAATTAATGAATGATAACTTACAGTAACACTTTAGACCATCGAATGAACAACGTTGTTTGTTAATTATGTTTCATAAATTACAATATATATTTTTTGGTGGTTACAAATTGGTATAGTATATCTCGCTTCTCAACTTAAGAGGTCATTAAATGGCTCCTCTTCAATCAAGGTGAAAAAAATGCATTGACTCTAAGTAGATGACCATCAGCAGAAAGCAACTAGAAGTAGAGGAAAATAATTTTTATTTTCCTCTCTTTTCTATATTCTCTTCCTGTCTTCGTCTTTTTTCTTTTCTCTTACCTATTATGCAAAAAATGTCCAGGTTGTTAGGGCAGTCAGTTCCTTTTTACCCTTTTTGTCATGTCTGAGCACATCACAAATTGTTTAATGTATTTCTTGTTCCTCATCTTAAGATGATCAAACACGTTGTCCTCTTTAAACAACATGAAAAGGATGTATAGACACTAAGGTAGGTAGATGACCGTTGACAAAACAACCAGACGAAGATGTAAATAATTGTTTTTCCTCCTCTCTTTTCTATATTCTCTGCCTGTATTCCTCTTTTTTCTTTCCTCTTAAACGGTACAAAAAAATGTTCCAGTTGTTAGGGCAGTCAAAATTTCTTTTTTATTTTTCTATATCATGTTTGAGCAAGAACTAGTTCGACTTGTGTATTGAATGTATAGGCATTCACCACTCTTGACTTTCTTTGTAGTTCTTTTAGATACTTGAGGCATTTTCCTAGCACCTTTTCTATTGAGTCTTGGTGGCTCTTACCCCACCTTTCATGTAATAGGACTTTGTGTCAGTTGACCCTTCTTTATCATTAATTAGCTTATAACTCGTTTTGCATTTTGTAGTGGATGCTGTTTGTCAGATTGCAGCATCTTATTCATATGTTTTCTTTAATCACTGCCACCAATTCCTGTTGCTCCTGCCATTTTGTGGTATTCTGAGGGAGAGAGGAAGGGGATGATGAAGAAGGGGATTTTATTTTCTTTAATGAAATGGAAAAAGGATGAAAAGAGAGGAGGAAAACAGATTGAATGAAACAAGTTATTTCATTTCAGAAATTAGCAGTTTTAACTTAAAATTTGATTCACCATTTCCTTGAGGAACTTTTGTTGATTGAGTAATACTTGAGCTAATAAGGTCCTGAGAAATTAAGACGATTGCACCACAATATATGTGTCCATGTAACTTAAGCATTCTCATAACTTAAGATGATGGACAAAACTGGAAAAAAAAAAGATGTAAAATGCTCAAATTGTCAAATTTGGCTGCGTCAATGGTTGTAGAAGTATTCAAGGTACGTGCCTTCTATGTTTGCTTCCTTTCTCATTTAGTTCATAATACGAGATTAACAGCTAGAATGAATCAGATGGCCCTCTCTACTTGCATTCATCTCATGTCATTCCTTTCGAGGTTAACTATTTTAATATGAGACAAACAGGATTTTGATAATATAGTCTGCCTATCATTTAGTTTAGTTTCTTCTACTTGGAAATGATAATTTTAACTATGACAAAGTCTGAGGGTTCTTCTCTTTAGAGTGCGCGGGCGCACACACACACATATAATTCAAATTTTCATCATATTTGGCACCTAAATTTTGGTTGACATTTGCAGTATTCTTCTGTCGAGGAAGCCACTGCAACCCGAAATGCTGTTTATAACCTCCAGTGGCCTCCCAATGGTGGAAATCTTCTGGTAGCAGAGTTTGTTGATCCCCAGGATGTTAAGGCTCGTGTCGAGCCCCCACCTCAATCAGCAGTACCGATAAGCCCAAACCCAACCACAGCTAAGGTTACAAACTTTCAACAACCTCAGGCAGCTCAACCCCCTACTCGCCAGCATTCTTTCAGGCAGCCGCTACCACCCCTTCCTACACCAACATTATCTGACCTGCCTGCTGCAAGGGAGAGACTTCCCCCACCTCCTCCATTGAACCCAGAACCACCAGCTTTAACACTCGATGATCTATTCAAGAAGACTAGAGCTACCCCAAGGATCTATTACCTACCCTTGTCTGAAGAAGCAGTGGCATCTAAGTTTGCAGCACAAGGCAAAAACCATAAAGGACAAACAAGCCAATATTAGCCCCAAAGCTATTACTTTTATCGTTCGTTTTGAAGTCTTGTGGATTTTATCAACTAGTCAAATGGTATGTATTTGCATCCGACTCGGGGTGGTTTATACACCTGTTCTTCGTCAGCAGTCTAGTGGTGTTTCAGGTGGATCAATGCAATCGTCCACTGCCTTGTGAGAAACGTTTTACTAGCAAGAAGGTATCCTGTGGCTAGGGAACACATTACATGGATGATATGCTGATAAGAGAACTGTAGTGAAATAAAAATTAGGTTTCTTGCTGAGTAGTTTAGCATAATCAGATCATAAATATTTGCTTAAGCTTTATGTTCCTGAAAGATATTGCTGTAGAGCACGGTCCAGTGAGGATGAGTTTAGAAATGCTGTTTTTATGACTTAAAACCTTCATCGATACAGCCGCAAATGAACAGATTTATAGTATTTTTTTACCCTCCGGATGTTTTGCCTGAATATAGTTTTTGTGTGATCATTGTTTTTCTTCTCTATGGTTTATTGGTTTGTGTTTCATATGTATATGTTCTTATAGTACTAAACTAGAGCTGCCTGGACTAAAGCATCCTTTCAAATACCAGTCGTAAAGTCTGGACCAGCAAATACTTGGCACATAAAGCCCAAGTATGGCCCAAGTTTCCAAGTAGGAACTTACCCCGTGCACAAATGGTAAAAATGTGAACCTATTGCTTCATCAGAAGGTATAAAGGCACATAATCTGATGCAGAGAAAGAGCTAGTGAATCACATAATTAAAGCGTTAATGTAAAATCTAGAACATAACAGGAATACCAAATGTGCCTCGAGAGCGAGCAATTCCGGAAGAGGCAACAAACAAAGCAGGAAAGATCAAAACTTCACGAGGAAAGATCGGGACTACAGAACCTCTCGGATCTAACGGTACGACTTCTGGAACCTGGCGCGTGCGCCGCGACCACCGAACTTCTTGGGCTCACATCGGCGGGGGTCGGCGACCAGAAGGGTGCGATCATAGCGGACGAGGATGTCCTTGATTTCCTTCTTGGACTGCTCGTCCACGTACTTTTGGTGGAAGGCGACGAGGGCCTTGGCGATGCTCTGACGGATGGCATAAATCTGGGAGGTCTTGCCGCCGCCGCGGACGCGGATGCGGATGTCGACGTCCATGAACCGTTGCCGCCCGAGGAGGAGGATGGGCTCGAAGGCCTTAAGGCCGAGGATCTCCGGCTTCACCAGTTCGATCGGCACGCCGTTCACCTTGATCAGCCCACGACCCCGCTTGCAGTGCGCCACAGCCACCGCCGTCTTCTTCCTTCCGAAGCACTGCACCGAGTCCACCGCTGCCGTCGCCATCGCCAACGATCGAGCTCACAGCGTGATGAACGAGACGAAACCCTAAAATTTGATCGGCGCGTGGGAGAGTCGACGACTTATATAGCGGAAAGCACCAGGAACCAGGAAGCGGTTTAGTCACACGACGGTCCAGCCTGCTGCGGACCGGATCCGGACAGGGAGTCGGTTTACTTTAATTGCACCGGTCCTTATGGTGCGAGCCAACCCTTGAATGGGCATCTTCATCTCCCATGGTGGATCGGGCCCAAACAGGACGGCTTGATCTGGCCGAGTTAAGAATTTGCGTTTGTTCCAGTCATTGAAACCAGACCGGACCGGACCAGCTGGCTTGACCGACAAAACCGAACTGGATCCGCCGGTCGAAGTATAAAAATTTCAAATTACTCTTAAAGCCCTTTGTAGAAGCTTTGTTTTTTCAAAAAAGTCATCAATCATATTTACATGGTAGCTCAATTAATTTTTGTTTGAAAAGTCTTCGATTCGATTATGTGTTGTATTATAAACTTACCTTTATATATATATATATTTATATAATTTTTAATTTTAAATATAATATTATTAAGTTTTTTTTATTATTCAAGTTGAAGAATGATTTGAAGTCAATTAAGATCGATCTTCCGTATTTGTATCAAAGCGGTCTTAGCCAACACCATCGTCCTCCAAGTCTAATTAATCTGAACACCTACAAAACTATGTGTCTTCGTGCTTTCAAGAAGTATTGATTTTAGTATAATAGATTTTTGAATATTATTATCTTCATAATAAATATTAATATCGTGCTTTTGAACTTAATAATGTTCGATCATCATGTGATGTGATATTGAGGTGTTGGCCACATAACAATAAGGTTTCAATCACATGAGGTGACGATCATATCATTATTATCCTATCAAATATATCTATATTTTTTTTATTTTTTTTATTTGTTCGATTATCTGACTCACTGATTTCAGTTGATTGAGTCACCGATTCAACCAACCTGTGCCGGCGGACTCGGCATCTGCGACGACCGCGTGACAAACTCTCTCCCGTCTCCTTCCCAAACCCAAGCCACCTGTCCCTTCCCAAATCCCGATCGAAGCCCTAAGAATCAATCCCGATTCGTTTCAAGAAACCATAATTGAAGTTGTATTGCGACCCTTGCAACCGATCTTTCGAGTTGGAGGAGGAGGAGGAGGAGGAGGGGCAGGAATCGATGGCGAGGAAGCCTAGCAGCAGCAGCTGCTGCACCATCTGCGAGGGTTCCAATCTGTCTTCCATCTGCGCGTCGTGCGTTAATTACAGGTTATCCTTTCTTTCTGGTTCTTGTTTGATCATCCATGTTCTTTATATAGCCACAATAATAATGAACGTCAAGAATCTGTTCTTGACGTTTTCTTTCCTTTTTTTCCTTTTGCAGATTGAATGAGTACAGCGTGTTGTTACGATCGCTGACGAATATCCGGGAATCCCTTTATTCCAGGCTGAACGATGAACTGGCGGAGAAGGTTGTCTTGCGTGCTCCTTAACGACGGTTCTTGAATTCACGTTTTTTGGAATCTTTCCCTATCAGATCTATGTTTCCACAATTAGTGCCTTAGATCACATGGTTAATCAGCTACATGTTGAACTTTTGCATTAGGCAAGCATCAGCGGAGAGTAATTTGCAGGGAACCAGGGCATCAGACATCCGTCATAGGAAGTTCTTTTATGGATGACCCCAAACTTGAAAAATCATTTTAGCACGGAACATGGGAAAGAACTTCTCTGGATTGTTTATTCTTTTTTTACCTATTCAAATTGCAGCTAATTGTCCACTTCCTTTCTGTAATCTTCAAGAAACATTATCTTAGGTGTTTTGTCTCAAAGGTTTTTTTAACATAGCAAATTTTTTGATCACGTCATTTTCAGGTTCATTGTCCTTGCGGAACATTATAATCATAATAGCGTTTGATGTTTCTTATTTCCACATATTTAAAATAAAAAATAGCATAGAAGATTCTAACAATCTGAAGTCAGCTGTGTGGATCTTTTCTTAAGATAAGTCGAAGGCAAACCTAAAATGCCAATACTTCAGGAAACCTAGACTTTATTTTGGTCATTAATATTTCTCAAAATTAATATAATCTAGGAATTCTTAAGAGTATATCTTGGACATCAATTTTGCCTAGTAGATTATTTGTTAATGTATTGAAACTCAGTTTTCATGTTCTTTCTTTTAATTGCTCATAATAACTTGTAGATTTATTACTCTGTGGATTGATTCGGACTTGCATTTCTCATTTTATCTTTGCTTACAAATATAAATTTAAACTTTCCAGCCCTACCATTGCTATCCACATGTTTAACATCTGGATGTGCATTGTTTAGGCTACTATTAAAAGTGCTTATATATTTTTAATGAGTAGATATCCTTTCCATGAGAGAATTTGGCCTGGTTGGAAGGTGGCCTGCAGCCTTTTTAAATGTCATCTTACCATTAGGCACTGGCTCAATTCATTTGGAATCTTGGGCTATGAGTGTGCATATATTCTTTCAAGAAAAATGCGGAGCTGATCATTCTGTTGCTAGGAGTTTTTCACATGGTTGAGGCTTGGGATTTACATGGACTATAATGTGTGCACTGTTTGTTGGTTTAAGTTTGGGCTTGCCCCTAAATAAATTTGCTGTACTCTAGTCATTCTTATATTTCTTTCGCTTGTCTTTTCTTTATAAACAGTTTTGTCATAGTCTTTTTGTTATTTATCTTTTATATTGATGTTTGTGTGCAGAGGAAAGCAACTCACCAAAGTAATTGGAGAGTGACACACAATGAGAAAATCAGGAAGTTGAAGGAACATCTAACCTGCTCGAAGAGGCAACTTGTAGAAGGTTCGTCTCTTTGTAGGTAATGCTTGTGTCAGCATCAATGAGTGTATAAGGATGTTTCATTTTCTTTGTTTCTTAAACTTGTTGATGTTTTTGTTGTTCTGTTATAGTGAATGCTAAGGTTGTGGAAGCATCAAACAATTTGAAGTTGAGATTTGACTCACTGGATTCAGCTTTTGCAACAGTATTTCACACTTGACCTTTAGTATTATGAATTTATGATTACCTTCCTGTTCTGAATCTTTATTAGCTGAATTAATATACTTCATGTTATCTCCTGTGACTGTTGTCTCTCTTTCAGATCAAGAACCATATGGGTTCGTTGGATAAATTGAATAGTGATCTTATTTACAGCCAGTGCTTAGCCTATGTAAGATTTTCACTCCAATAATTTTTCTTTTCTTTATGAAGCTTTAGAATCCATGAATATATTTTTCATGTTTCAGTTGTAGCTTCATTCGCTCAAGTTTACAGACGTTATTCTTTAAAGTAGGTTCTAGACAATATTAGCTTAAAATCGTGAGACAATTATTACTACTATTGGCTTATGTTCTTGGGTGTTAGTGTTTAGAACGTCGCAATAAATTTCTTTTGAACATATCGGATATTTTTAAAATCTTGATATTTGTTTATTATGTTAGAATATGTAGTTTCACATCATAATTAGTGGTAATAAGTAATTATCTTGCATTGCTAATTTATTTATTTTAAGAAATATAATTTTTAGTGCATAATGTTTTAGGAATATATAGAAGATAAAGATTACAATAGGATTTTAAATTGAATCTAACAATATTATGTTTAATCATAGAAAGATTGACATTTGAAAAGTTATTCCAATACTTCCATGAAATATCACCTAGGCAAGGATCACCTTTTCGGGTACCGAACCCATTTTGGAGTGTACCATGTGTGCGTACATTGGTATGTACTGATGTTTCGGAGAAGTAAAAGAAGAAGAGGAAGGGATGGTGGAGGAAGAGGAGGAAGGAGGAAGGACTAAGGAGAGAAAGAATTGTAGAGGGACGAAGAGGAAGGAGGAAGAAGCACAGGAGGAAGAGGCATCAAAGGAAGAGGAAGGACGAAGAGAAGGGAAGTGGAAGGAGGAAGAGGAGAAGAGGCATACCCATAGGCAGCTGTGCGTGATGGAGGTGTGCAGCGAGGTTGTGGCGGAGTCATAGCAGCTGTGCATGGTGAATGTTGCGTTGGAGATGTCGCTGCCGAGGTGTGCAGTTGTGCGCGACAAAGGTGCTGCGTGGCGGCAGTGTGTGGTGTGTGGCATGCGTGAGAAGATTAGGGTTAATGCGAAGAATGCTTTCCTTGGTATATGGGCAGATCGGACCTGGAGCAGTCCGTGTATCAGTTTATGACTGGACCGGTACATTCTGCCTGTTTCATACTTGTTCGGGTGAAACTTTAATCCTCGCACCTAAGCATCCTAAAGTATCTGATATTTTTTAATGATACATAAAAATTAGACACTGCAAGATAGCATCAAACACATATCCTACACGTATCATATTGGATATGTATTTGATATGGATAGGCAAGAAATATGAAATATCCTTGTTTCACGGGCAGTGATACTTCAATGAATGGTACAAAAGGTGTATCTTCAAATATGATTTTTTTTGGATTCCATGCATCTATATGGTCTCATTGTATCTGATTTGCTTAACTTTTTTCATGTCTATATGGTCTTCTGTCTGATCTGTTTAGCTGACATCACTCATCTTATGCAGATGGCAATCACGTCTGAACGTCTTCACAAACAGTCGATGGTTATAAGACAAATCTGCAGGCTCTTCCCAATGCGCCGGGTAGTTACTTTTTGCTCTTTGACACAACACATACAATTATAGGTTTATGGTAGATTGGGCTCATTAACTGAGCCAACTAGGACAGGATGGGAACCATAAAGTCACCTTAAATAGGTGCTAGGTTGTGACTTTTTGATGAGCCCTTTCTTTTACTCCAGAGGGTTTGCAGTTCCATGCTTTCATTTAATTGGTCCTTGAGTGGTAATTTTCACTTTTTGCCTAATGTCTACATATGACTAAGGATGTCAATGATATTTGATTACCTGTCTACATTCCATGGAAGGTGATGTCTATGGCAAATAACCTAAAAGAGGATAAAGGAACTGTATCTGACAAATCGTATTGTAAGCACATTGCTGGACTCATACATTTTTGCAGCATCTTGCAATTGTGAAAGAAGTCAAAAATATATTAAGCTTCCAAATTTTGTTGTAGAAATCACATTGATTTGAAAGTTATTTGAATTCTTCTCAAACTTCAATTTCTAATAATATCTTTTAGATGCCAAACTGAACAGGAGATAAAACTGGAAAAATAGGTTTTACATAGTGGAAACTGCAATGTCCTGCCTTTTGATATAACTCAATGCTACATCATGACTAGCTCAGTTGGGACCAACAAAACTTTGCTTGGCCTATGTCCAAAATCTTGACGATGGGGTTGCTTTTATACAAAAATAATGCTTGGACAAAGGCTGCTAAAATCCATCCCTGTAGGTTTGATTATTTCTGGAGTTATTCTTAATCTGTTTGGTATCTTGTTTAGATGTTTAACTTTTTTGGATACAGCATAGCACCTGTAATTGTTAACTTATAGTCTTCAATCTGTTATTGCTAATTTTGAAATGATTCCGATTTTTTTTTTGTTTTTTTCCTTATTATCTTTCATAATCCTTGTGATAGTTATTTTTTAGAAGTCAGAATACTTGGAAACATGATAGGAAAAAGGTTAGTTTTAGTGAAAATAAGCACCAGATATCATTAGATTAAGTGTACTACATGATAGAATATAAAACAATTTGCACTTGCAGGAGTTCACTAAGAGGCAAGTAAAACTTTGAATGTCTAAAAGAACCCTGGTGCAGATCAATTGATCTAAAGGCGCCTTGAGAATGAGAGAAACAAAGAATACATGTCTAGAAATAGTGGAGGTGACGGTTGTGATGTTGACAATGGCAGTAATTGCAATGATCTATGATGATGGTGGTAATGGAAGTTGCAATGTCATTGGCTGGTGTTGGTGGTAGTTCTTGTGGTTGTTGTTGCCGTTTTTGGCAATAGTGGTGGTAATACAAGTTATAGTAGCATTGTGTCTGGAGGTCAGGAGGGGCTTCTTAGCTTGGAGCTGCTTCGGAGAAATGTAAGCATCCTTGCGAGGGACACTGCTAACATAGGAGATAACCTACATTCAATTTAGAGAATACATTGACCTTCCAACATCAACCATATGATGTTGTTCCTTGCCGGGTTGCTCTATGACAATTTAAATAGCTTTAATTGTACAAGTTACATATGATGCTCTTTTATTTGATATCCAGGTGAATTTAGATGGAGCAAAGGATGGATCAAATGGTCCATATGACCAAATTTGCAATGCACGTTTACCCAGAGGACTTGATCCACATTCTGTTCCATCTGAAGAGCTTGCAGCTTCCTTGGGGTAAATTTTGCGTGCTTATAACCTTATGGGTTTTTTTATTTTTGAATGTTAAATTGTTTTTGTTCTAATAATTTTGAAAAGTAATATATTTAGATTTTCCAAAATTATGTAATGAACAATTTTATCAGAAAGTACCTTTATTTAGTTATTGTTTGTCATTTATAACGGCACTGACCTTGTGAGAAAATTCTCACATGTGCCACAGTTGAGTGCCGCTATTGTATGAACTTGTTTAACTTTTGCCAGCTTCAACATTTTCTTGTATAGCCTCCATGATGCACCTCTGAGGTTTGTGTTTATCACTAATATTTCTAAATCAATAGTAATGTCATTGCTTATTCTTTCTAACCAGGTACATGGTCCAACTGTTAAATCTTGTTGTCCCAAATTTGGCTGCTCCAGTACTCCATAATTCAGGTTTTGCGGTAAGCTATGGTTTTGTTTCCAATTATAAATGAGTATTAGTGACATCTAAAACTTATTTAATAATTGAAGGATTCTGATCGCTTAAAATTTATTATGGTCTCATGATCCACACCTGAAAAGAAAAAATGTATAATCCCAATTAGTTAATAATATAGGACAACCTTTTTTTAAAATAATCTGTATGATTCTACAGGAATTATTTATGTCAAACTGGGTTTTAATCATATCAAATTAAAAGTTATTCATGAACTAATTTCATTGCGTATTTATGTTCATAAGTTGGTGATTTTGAGAGCTAACATCCTTTGGTTAACTATGCATTTAAACAATCTGCAAGATTTAGTGTTTCTCACATACTGTATTTATTGTGTTAGTCATTCACTTTTTTGCCTTCTAAAATGGAAGAATGTTGCAACATTCTAATATTTGCTTAGTTTAGGGTTCCTGCTCACTCGTATGGCAACGAGATTCATATTGGGATGCCCGACCGTCCTCGCAGAGGTATTGCATCTTAAGGTGCATTTATCTTTTATGATGCAATACACTACATCAAATGACTTTTGTAATATGCAGCAAGGAGTATCCACTTTTCATATCACGACAGAATTTCTGCCCTTCCATTGTGGAAGAAAGTTCCTCTAACTATGATCTCTCTTCAATGGAATCAGAAAGAAAACCTTATTTAGACACTTCCAGAAGTGGTAGCTTCAGTTATTCCTGTGCCTCTCCACATTCTCTGGAGACTCACATGGATCTGCAGAAAGGGATATCACTTCTCAAGAAAAGTGTGGCATGCATTACAACATGCTGCTACAATTCCTTATGCCTGGATGTGCCTTCTGAAGCATCTACTTTTGAAGCATTTGCAAAATTATTGGTTGCTTTATCTTCTTCAAGGGAACTACAGTCAACAAGAAATTCATTGAAGATGGCATGCTCAAGGTATGAGTTCATGAGATTTTTTCATTTTTTTTAAGGCTCTTTCTCAACACTCAGTATGTACTGGTGAGTCAGTAGATCAATAATATATTAAATATATTATTTACTCTTTTATTATTATTATTATTTGGTGTTTTAATCTATTTGTATGCTGTATTTTATTGCTATGCAAAGGAAAGCAAAGCAAGCTCACCAACTTTGGTTCTAACACTGATGTATTTTATTGCTATGCAGGCCAGCAAAGCAAGCTCATCAACTGAACAGATCGGTGTGGGATGAAAATTCGAGGGTTCCATCGAGCAGCTTCATGGGGAGCATGCAGACAACGGAATCGGTGAGTCCCAAATTCAGCACGTTAATCAGTAATGTTTTCACCTTTTGGTGTCATATCCATGATGTGCATAATACGTTTGCTGTGCTGATCAGTCGAACTCCGATGCAAGCTTCGACTACTCTGCCGAGGTGACCGCGTCTGTGAACTCTGAAAGCCTTGTGGAAGGATGGGACATCGTGGAACATCCTCGGCTTCCCCCACCGCAGTCGCAGGTTGATGCCTCCTGCAACACAATCTTCAGGTGATGCGGCTGCATTCATTCTTTTGTATGCACAAAGGAATTGTCTAACCTTATACATTGTCAATAGCAACTGAATACAATCACATCAGGAATGCTCTGGTTGACATCATTCTCACCTTGTAGTTTCCCTTCGAGATTCCATCAAAATCAACTCTTTGTCGAAAAATTCTCTTGGATAAAAAATATTGTAGAAAAATTGACAAGTCCAGTTAAAATGATAGAAGCTCCAAAACAGCATAATCAAATGAGTTCTAGAAAGAAAAAGAAAAATAATAAAACAATGAAGCACATCATAAATTGTCAAACATCACAATATTGCAACTATGTGGAGCCATTTCCCAAACAATCAATATTGGTGAGAATGCTACCAATATTCAAGCTGTTTTGGATACTACCAACTATTTGGCAAACAAAGGGCAAAGTTAATTTGAAATAACGATGAAAAGCAGTAGAGAAAGCAAACAATAAACAACATATCTATGTGAAATTTAAGTTATCTTTTGGAGAGCTTTTAGGCGCATTGTCTCCTGCAAAGTTGATAGATAGTTTGGTTAGATGAAGTGGAGAGTGCAAGGAAATCAAGTTTAGAATTAGAATTCAAGATTATAAATACTTTCAAAATAAAGTATTTCTATTTTCACCTTTGTTTCTTCGTTTTTATTGATCCTTATAACCTAGAATTTATATAATTTATATTACCAATAAATTATGAAAAATAATCCTAAAATAAAATTCTTTGAATTTTGAGCCATTTTTTGATCTTTTTTTTTTTGAACCAGGGCCTAATAAGGCCAATCAGCACAAGATGGTGCGATATAAGAACATTTACCTACAGCAGCATATAAGAACATTTACTACATAACAAGCCCTGTGATATAAGAATAACTAAGTACTAAACAACCACAATGCAATCATTAGGTAAAATATAAACCAATAAATTGAGAAGGCAGAAGCAAGATTTGTTACCTGAGTATATACAAGTTGATGGCACTTTCACAGTTTCACCAACAGTGCATCTTCAACCCTTCCATACGAGCTGAGCTATCCATATGACACGAAATCACACTGTTCGGAATGGGTATATATTTCCAAAAAATAATAATAAATTAATTAATAAATGAGTGGTTCAGTTTTACAATTTGACCTTACCAGACTGTATTGATTGAATTATTGAATATCATGTAAGATTGGATCAGATAAATGAGTCACATTTCCATTAAACATTAACCAGTTGAGGCCAGAAGCATGTTGATGATGATGTCATTGTTCCAGCCCAGACTATATACTGAGCAGTTCAGATTTGAATGTAAATTTCTAGCATGCTTATTAAATATGTAACATTTCAACCTGATACCATTTCATCCCTAGCTTCCGATGTCTGCTCTAGTGAAGCATAACGATTGCATTTTTCACCAAATAACCCAACCTATAAAAGAAAAAAAATCTCCATCACATGTGTGTTTAGTAACTGCTGCTAGCTTAATCTCACTAGATAAACATTGAAGTAGGCAACAACAAATATCAATTCAGATGTCAGTCTTATACTTATAAGAAATATAATTTACTTTTTAAGTCATGAACTAGTCCATAGTCCATAATGTAATAGTTAAGATTCATGCTCATGACTTGATACAGTTTCACGCTGGCTATAATAGCCTAGTGCAACCCTCCACCTTTTTCATCCGGGCTTGGGACCGGCATTGGCAGTGTTAAAACATATGTATCATAACAAGCAAAACAAATATAAAATGGAAACAAAATTTTCCTGTTAAAGGATAAAACACAATAACAATTTAAAATTAACAATTGCTTATTTGGAAAATAAGTATACTTTTGTCAACAATGAGATCCTTTTTATGCTACATATAAAAGTGAAATAATTGTTATTGGTGGTAGTTTTGGTGGGCAAAGGGACAACCATCATTGAAAATGATATCTAACAAAAACACAAGGCCCTTTAAAGCAAAATATTCACAAAAAAGTGCTTTGTGTCCTCAACTGAGCCATCACGTTAAATTTTAATATAACTAGGTCGAGCAACATGTCTTACATTCAATGCAACAAAGCCAAAATGTACACAAGTCAAAAACATAAGTACTTAAGATGCACTTGTTCATTTCAATTTGTTTCACTCCCATGCCCTCTTTGTCAATTAGAGAAGTCATGAAAGAATAAGGTCTGGTAGAAGGTAGGAGAGAATCAAGTTGTAAATGAGTATTATAGACACTACAATTTTCAGTCTCTAAAGTCTGTTTTAACTGAATGACACAAAGGTGCTTGTTTATTGTTTAAGCTAATCCATTGATGAGTGAACCATCCATGATATCTCTTCTTCCTTCAAATGTGTTCCATCACTTGTAAGTCCACTTGTAAGTCTAAAGGTGTAGCACAAGAACTATAAAATGCTTTATTAGGCATTAACACTTGTCAACCCTCTAAAATTGCTTCTAAACAATTTCAATTACTATGATTAATTTACCTCTAGTAATAAACATTTGCTGTAACGTAACCAATGATGAAAAAGACCCTTGCAAGCAAAGGCTGATGCAGTATTGTAAATTCCATAAGAAACAAATTAAAAAGACAACAAAAAATGTGATGAACCTTACAAATAGTGTCCATATGTCCCTATAATCCAAACGCTGGCCAAACAAAACATCTAGGGGAGTAGATCCTTAGATGACATCTAAAATATAAATTCTTATATGGAAATCCTTAACCAAGATGCAAAGATGAAAATTCACTTCCTATGCCACCAAAATTTACAGGAGTAGATCTTGGAATAATTGAACTTTTTTCAATACTTTGCAATATATCATTGAAGAACTCAAAAAGTTTATAAGGGAGAGAGAGAACATCTCATTATTTAATGTCGGAGAGGTGAAGAGTGTGTTTAAGTGAGATATGAGCCACCAATTATAATGTTATGTTGCCCAAGGATGTAACATTCAAAGCCTAAGAACTGCTCCTTGCTTTTCATTTTGTTAAATAACTTTTGACAAATAATGTTAGCCATATCAGCTTAGAGACTATACAAAATTTTCACTTCAGAGATATAAAGAAAGAGAACTAGTAATTTGTACATCGATAAATTCGCTCTAGATTTTACGTTCAAACATGCAAGGCTTCAAGTCAAACCCTAACTGAGACGTAGTAGAAGGACATCTTCTGGATGGCTACACATCAGTTAACAATTAACTCAAATAATGAAAGAACAAATAAGGATGAGTAAATGGGACAACAATAAAAAGATGAGCAAACCCCGTGTGCATAAATAAAAAAACTCAGAAGGATTCCATTTGTAGTTGGTAAAACTTCAACTCTCCCATTCTTTTGCATAACTTCACAATATCAAATCGATTTCCAGCTTCACAATCAAAACACCAACAACCACTAATCAAGATGAAATGAAGGTTGAATACACACCCTCCCATTGTGCATGGTGTATGTACCGATCGTCATCATCGTTGACCTTTCTCTTGCTCCAAATGAGAACCTTTGAGACTAAATCCAACCATTCCTAACTAACCTATGCTGCAACACCATTGCCGCAAGCCTCTAGTGTTAAAAATTAACAATTTTCCATATTTGTTGCCGAAATATGAGCTAAAACATCCTCTTTCATGCCTCTCATTATTTTTAGACTTTAAGACTACATGTTACATTCTTTTGAAAGGGTAACCACAATATAAAAATATAGTCAAATGATGCATTGAATTTTGATGAAACTTAGTAAAAACAAGAGAAAGGTAATGTACTAATATAAATGTGTCAGCCAGATGCATAAATATTCTGAATGAGCATTCCTATGGATTGTGACAAGAAACACTCCCTATCCAAAGATTCTGAGATATGTGAAGTTAAATTTATGACTAATGAATGCTAGCCAACAACAAAATATAGATACATACAAGGGACTCTGCTAGTGCAAATAATTATAACTCAAAGAAACAAATCATTTCCTGGAAATTATAGATTATTCAAATATAATGTTTTAAATATTTAACTGGATTCATGTCAGTTTAATTTGGTGGAGTTATCATAAATTGTTTTCTACAGAAGTTATGGAACAATTTACTGAAAGTTTTAAATATTATGCATTACATTACCAGTTGCAACACCACAATTTTCCAAATGTTTACCGTCTGAGCAAAATCCCAAGAATCCTTAATGTCTTTGTATCTGCAAATAAAGATAAAACAAAAAACACCATTGCATGTGAAAAGAAGTACTCTGTCATGACTTTAGAGCTACACAAATTCAGTTCTTCAAACCTCCTAAATGGTCCTAAAAGAACATAAAAATCTGTAGGTTACTGGATATTTTATGAAACCACAACTCAGCAAAGAGCTAAAATCATGTTACCTCTTGGACTAATCATCGAACATGACAGTAGTTCTGCAAAGCCTCTGAGCAAATGCTTCTCTTTGTATCTACAGATGAAGACAGAAAAATAATATAGTAAGATTTTAATGTTCATGTGAAACAAGTATTTTGTTGTGGCATTAGAGCTACGTAAAGTTCAATTCTTTAAAGTTTCTAAAATGGTCCAGAAAGAAGATAAAATCCTGAAGGTTAATTGATAAAGTCAGCAAAAAAGCTGGAAACATAAAAAAGTTACCTCTTAGATCTAGTTATGCATAGATCTCCTGGTGTCGAACACAATTGTTGTTGTGCATGTGATCTCTTCATGTGTGATAAAAAGTACTTTGTTGTCACAGTACAGTGACACAGAGTTCGATCCTCCAAGGTTTCTAGAATGGTCCCAAACAGCATATACATCTGAAGTCTATCGGATATCATAGCAAACCTCAACTTGGCATAATCTGAAATATACAAGAAGTTACCAAGATTAGCATAAAAGATAACCAAAAGATATATAGTCAACACTAAGATTCTCAAACTGAAAAAAAAATCGACACTAAAACAAAAAACAGAAAGAAAAAAAAATATTAACAAAATCATCGGAATGTTATATTATTGTAAATATCAAAACTAGAACACAGTTGCTTAAAAAATGTAGCAAAAAGATGTAGTAATCACCGATGACATATTTCATCAATCTGGGAAAGATATATCTCATAACTATGCAAAACTGAAAGAAAAATAGACAATAAATCAGACTTGTGGTTGCAGGTGCATAGTTATGTTAGAAACAAGCCTATAAATGCTGTAAAAATTAAAGCAAGGTCGAAAGTTTCTAACTCACCTTAGGTGCCTCAACTGATATCTGAGGATGTTACATTTGTAATGCTTGTGTGAAAGTATGCTGCCTTGTCGATGCCACCAAACTTCCCTGTGCAACACTAAGGGATCTTCTTGTCAACTGTCATAATCTTATCCACCCATCGGCCTTCTCATCTTATGACATTAAAACGGGCAAAGGGCACTGAACATTTGGAAGCCTCAAAGATGTTCCAGAACTTGACTGTCTCGTCTGCTGCTGCAGAAGCTACTGTACCTCCCACTGGGCTCCTGGCAATGAAAAGGACCCGTGATGAATGAGCGGAAAGCTCAGCAGCCCTCTTCATCGATGGGTAATTCCACAGGATGAGTTGATTCTTCGGAAACCCATGGGAGGTGAGCAATTCAGATTTATTCGTGTCCCATAACAATGAACAAACTTCAGAGCCGGTATTGAACGTGTTCAAGCAAGCACCATCAATAGTGTTCCAAAACTTAATGCGACGGTCGTAACGTCCTCCACCAGAAGCCAGCAGGTTGCTCCGAGTCGGGCACCAGTCAAGGGCCTTCACAGTGGAAGTATGGCCGCTCAATCTGTGAAGCCATTGATGTCGGCGTGGACAGTCATTTGGGACCGCCATGCAAGCGTCCCATATGTGCACCAGTTTATCCTGCCCTCCGCTCGCGAGATACCGGCCCGACAACCCCGACCATTTCAGGTTACAAACTCCAAGTTCATGCCCTTTATAGTCACAGATGGCATGGTCTGGCTTCCTGAAGTCGTAATCGATAACACTTCCATCGGATTTCCCGGCTGTCAGGACCGAATTACTTCTCCAGGCAAGTGACAACACCTTGGACTGCTTGTCGCCTGAGACCCCGTCCAGGACACGTCCTGTTGATCCGTCAACCAGGGCCAGATCTGAACTGCCTAATGCGAAAGCAAGAAATTTGCCGTCTGGGCACCAGCTGACGCTAGTGATGGGTCCGTTGCCATCTAGGGCTCGTTGAAGCACCGAGGCGGACTCGTTCGCGGCATCCCATAGGCACACTGTGTCGTCGAGGCCAATCGCCAACATATTATTGCTTCCCCAGTCGAGGAGATTATAACTAAAATTGTCTAACATGCCGTAGACCTCCAAAACTTTCTCTGGTTTGTCGGGGATTTTCCTCTGTTGCTGCAGATTGGCGTCGTAAAATTGGGGCACTTCGTCGGCCGGCGCCGCGGGTGCACTTTTGAAAGCGAGGATACGTGACCTGTTCTTCAACACGCACTGATCAAGAAGCTTTTGGTACGCTGACCTCGATGACATCGCACCAGGTCTCGAAGGCGTCGTTAGGGCATAGTGCGCGAAGTCCATGTCCATCGCCGATCGGAACGGGATGAAGCGGTCGTACTCTATGCGCCTAGGACGAGAAGTAGCCATTGTTTCCAATTGAAACCAGAACGACAACCACAGAGGCGACCGAAAACGATCAAGAATACCAAGAAAGATCGATCTATCCGGGAGAAACTCAAACGGGAAGAAACCCAGACGACGGAAAACCAACGATCGATCAAAGAAAAAACCAAGAACGAGATCTTTAGCCACGGAAAACCTCAGATGCAGACGATCACAACACAAAATCCAACGAAATGTTAAACCCTAATTGCAATTTCGACAGTTCAAGAATCAAGCGAAAAGAAACCTCAAGAAAACGAAGAAGGAAGATCAGCAGCAACAAGAATCGGAATGCTTCCCCTAAATCCGACGCCGAGGACGCTCGCAGATGCGGCCGTTCGTCGGAGAGCAGCTCCGACCTGCGCAGGACGACGAGGAGATCGCCAAGAGAGCAAAACAGAGCCAAGAAGAAGAGAGCGGGCGAGATGGGAGAGACGTGGGAGAGACGTCAGGTATGGCAAGGGCTCGGGGGGCCCGACTTTATAGAGAACTCCACCGACGACGACGTAGCGGTTGTTGGTTTTCTTGAAATCGTTCCGTTATACGCTACCAACCAATAAATTATAGAATTATATAATTACATTTATTTGTTTTGAACAATAAATTGCTTCAATGTCGAACGAATATGATCCAAAAAAATATATATTAATCTTAAAAATAAATTTGATAGTTCTCTCAGAACAATCTTGATGTAAATGAAATATAAGTAATGATGTTCCACTCTTGGAAACCCATGTTTTATTTTCCACCCTTCTAGTGATGAATTTAAATTAAATTCGAAGAGCCTTTAATTAAAATTACCATGGAATATAGACCAGAGTTGAGCTTCGACTCGAGTTTGGATGAGATCTTACACTTAGGTTCCTAAATAAGGGATTTGAATGGTGAAATTAATAGTTATTATATTTGTTACTGTCCTTATCGTTAAATGATATGCAATGAATTATTGAGTCTATCCAACTCTATTAAACATTCTAAAACAAAATTGGATTAAAATGAGAGCATATAAATTTATATATTAAATATTTTCTTATGATGAGAGAGTACATAAAGATTAGCAACTCTTTTCCCAGTGCTGTCACAGCAACCGAGGGAGGGAGGCATGAGGTAGTCGATTATAGTGAAAACCATGTCCCAAAAGAATCAATCATAAGAGGTGTTTTGTGCCATCAGCAATGATTTGTATGATATATCAAGAACTTGAATCAGTTGCCATTGTTGGTTGCTCAAACAGTTATGTACACTTATAAGCTAGGTAAAACCAACCAATCCTACTGAATTATAAGCTACGTTTCAATCTTACAACTGATTCAAAATAGAATTATAAGCTACGTAAAACCAACCAACCCTGCTGAATCGGTGTACAGAGAGAGAGAAAGAGAGAGCCTTCATCAGATCATGTGGCTGGATTGACCTGCAGATTGTACAGGGAAATTGTAAGGTTACAACATGATAAAATTCATGATTAAACCGATCGTCCCTCTGCATACAAACTGCAGCAGGATAATAGCCTCTCTGCAGTGACACTTTGCTTGTGTCCGGTCTCAGAATTCATCCTCTGTTGTTACAATTTACTCGGTTCACTACAAAGACTAGTATTTGAATGATTCATCAGTCTCAGGAGATCTGTTTGTATAAGCTATATAGAGTCTACAGCTAGCCGCATAACAAACACAATTAATTTCATAATCATAAAACTATATGGATTCCATGATCAGAAAGCTGAATCATACTATGACATGTAGAAGAGCAAATATGATTTCTATGATGGAATTGAATTGAGTGCCACCTAGGTACAGCGCTAAGTTCTCTGAGTTAAGAGACTTGCAGTCATAGGGTGGATGTGATCGAGTCGACAGAAACGATCAAACATTCTCCCCAGTATGATGAATCTTACTAGTGCTGATACATGCAGATGTGTCGCTACCACCCATCGAAGATATCCAAATTTCAAATGATCACCACTTCTACAGATTTCAGAACAGTTATCACCCATCTATGATATTCGAGTTTCAAATGGTCACTACTTTATGAAGATGAGAACAAAAGCATGGAAATCTCAGTGATGGATCACAAACCATCAAATATATTTTGACATGAAGAACTGCACATACAAATAATAATGGATGCGATCTATATTGATAGTGATGTATATGTTAATATCCAGAGGACTAACATTTAAGCAAATTTGCCTGCTGTATAAAATGTCTCAATGGAAAGGAAAATGTCACTGAAAATGACCCTCAACTTGTTCACCACCAATACCACAAAATGAGAAAATTTGGGAAGACAGTTTTGGAAACACAAGACATGTTTGGAAATGAGGTTAGTTTTAAATTATAAATTAAGAATGCTAATGCCATAAATACACTAAATTTTTGCAAGAAATGATGCAACGAAAAGAACATTCCTTAAAGCAGACAAAAAATAAATTAGAAAAAAGAAACACCTTTTCGATGATATTGTGTAAGCTGCACAACATTAAACTTTCAACCAAAATTTTCATGTACAAATTATAAAAAAGAAACTCATCATAATCAACTCCGGTTCAAAATGTACTTTTAGGTAGTATGGTGTTTTTCCACAATCCATAACAAGGTGCAAAAAGTAAGTTTTCTCATATAGCAAACACTAAGCCAAATAAAGAAGCCATCTAAAGTAATCTTGAAAGAAAAGTGACGGGATCAATTCAGCAGTAACCATATACATGCTTACATGACAGCAGAAGAATGACAAAATAAGCAAGTACCAACCCAAAGCAAAATCATCTAAATGTAAAGAACTAAAAAGGAGTTGAGAAGATTGACAATATGAAAAATAATTAAACCAAATAGAAAGATAATTCCACGAGAGCACTTGGAAAAATCATATATAAAAAACACATAAAATATTATAATTATAGTAATAAAGTAGCAGGATAAACTCTGTTAAGTTCCACAGAGAGCTTAGACGAGACAAGGTGAAATTAGATTAGAAGAAGTCAAGGACATTTCAAAAGTGAGATCCATACGTAATTATCATGTGACCTCCTGAAACACCCTTGAGGATGCCAATAAGTTCCTCCACGTACTTGCGTCATCACACCTGCAGATAAGGGTCCAAAGTATGTCAACAAAGTCAATGAGAATACTGCACAAACTTCTTTTAAAATCAACATGTTTCTTTAAAGATATAAAATTGTACTTGTTGAAGTGCTATCATATAATAAGAAAGTGCTTGCTTCATCACATCTGCAAATGAGGGTCCAAAGTATGTCAACAAAGTGGAAGAAAATGCTGCATAAACTTTTTTAAACCAACATGTTTCACTAAAGAAATGAACTGCATCCATAGAATGCTATAATGTTTGAAGATGATAACATGTACTTGCTTCATCACATCTGTAAATGAGGGTCCAAAGTACATCAAAAAATCAGAATAAAATATCTCATGAACTTTTCTAAACCGGCAGGTTTCACTAAAGAAATGAATCATAATTGTTGTACATACTGATTATGTTCTGATATGGTAAATAGCATGGCTAAAAGCCAATATTCCACAATAAACAAATAGAACAGAGGGGAAAAGAGCAACCGCCAAATGGTTAAACTACATAATAGGTAGAAAGAAATGATAGAAAAAGGTCATTCATTAAAAATTCATAGATATTAAAAAGTAAAGAATCATTGTATAAAAAAATGATACAAGGATTTGAAATTCTTACCAATCATATTCTAGAGCAGAATTGCTCATCTTCATCAACTAAGGTACTAAAAACAAAGTATTCACAACTATTTCACATGCCTCGAACTATTATATAATAGTTCTTTAGAAACTAGTTGGCAGCTCAACTTAGAATTTTAATTTTCAGAGTTCTATACAGTAACTTTTTCACTGATAAAAAGTAGTTTCAATAACTTTGGCCATTTTGGCTAGTCTAGGGGGAATTTTTCAGTGGTTTAGGCAACTATGCAGCTGATAACTTAATTTTACATTGTACAGGGTATATATAAACATACACATGTATTAGTTTCACCATAACTAGTTAATTATAACTTATATAGACAATAAACTACAAGATGTCAGCATATTAATGATAACATAGTGATACTATATTCTAAGTCACCACTCTCGATTAAACATAAAATTCGCTTGGGATCTGACCAGTTACCACCCACCAAAAGATACACCCACTTGGGTCTTCAGGTATATATTATGGTTCAGTCCCTACTCACTTTACTTTAAAGGGATTTGGAGCTAAATCAAGTAGAAAATATCAGGCATTCTGGTAACACGCCCAATGTACACCCACACACCTGATGTTTTCAGTGGGTTTTAAACACACACTACCCACTTGACCTCAGATATCACCGTCCAAAGTGTGTTAACAAGGTAAAAGTTGCATCACCATTATCTTTTTTCTCTCGTTATAGATGATCTTACCAGGCATATCAAGGGTCCACATCTGAACAACAAACTAAATTTACACACAAACCTTTTTGTTTTTCAAGCGGATTAAGTTAGACCCATACTCTTGGGTGTGCATCGCTATATGTATGGTTGATTACCACATTACAATGTGTATGCCCAGAATGTGCTTTGCTACTAGGAACTAGAAAGTCCTGCAGCAACTCGACAAGATGAGGCTCCATGGAAGCCTTCTGGAAATCTTCTAACCATCTTCCAAATGAAAAGCATCAAACACTTTAATTCCCAATTGCGTGTAACAGTGCCCCAACTAATATAATTTCGTTGAATTAAACTGTAGTAGGTCTTTAGGTTTCAGAAAACAAACCATCTTCAATATCTTCACAATTATCAAACAGAAGGGAAAAAAAGGACGGCTGAATGTGATGGCTAATATTATGTATTTGAAATTAGTAATCCTTAACCGAAAAAAAATTACTGAAACAAAAATGCTTTTGTATGGTCTAATTTAAATATCCAAAGGCAAAACAAACAACAAAAGGTTTGTACCTTCTTGTTTCTGATACAAGAAGCTAAGCCCCTTAAAAGGCACATATAAAATAAATAGAATGGAGATTGAGAGAGAGAGAGAGAGAGAGAGAGAGAGAGAGAGAGAGAGAGGTAACACACAAAATCTTTGAAGAAAAATCAAGAAAACATCAGTTACAAGAGATGTGAAGGAAATCCTCACGAGAACCAGCTAGCCGCTAAGCCTTGTGGGTGATGACTGCCGGAGCTGAGACACCTGGTGCAATTGCATACCATGCAAACCTGTCGCTCCTTGAGAACCATACGGCCCAAGGAGCGAAGGAGCTCCGCTTGCCAACCCCACTCCCCCCAGTCCCTGTCCCAGAGGCGAAAGCAATCCTGCTCCCGCCGCTGGGTTAAGCGCTGCAGCTGCAGTAGGATCGAGGGCCGCGGCTGCCAGAAGCGGATTACGCCCCAGCAGTGCAGCGTATGCGGGGTTCTGGCGGTACAACATAAGATTCTGCGTAGCCGCCACGGCCGCCAGCACCGGCTGCGGGGCCGGTCCCAACAAAGCGACCGAGGAAGCGGTGTTGGTGGACGGAGCTGGTGCTTTCCCTCTTTGGGAAGGCTCAGCAGCCGGCTGACAGTGCAGCCGGTGGCCCTCGAACACCTTGTAGGGCTCCTCGAGCGCCTTCCTGGCTCCCTCCAGTTTCTTGTAGAGAAAGATGGCATAACCCTTCCACTTCCCCGTGTGCATGTCGAAACCAGAAGGCACCGCCTCGATCTCGCCGAAACGAGAGAAGAACGACCTCAGTTTATCCAGGGTTGCGTTCGCGGGCACGTTGCTCACGTAAACCTTCCTCCCGGCCGTGTCTCCGGTCGAGGCGGGGCCGACTGCAGCGAACTGGCAGAACACGGGTCGGTTCCTGATCCTCTTCTGCGGCTGCTTGAGGGCCTCGACGGCGCCGGCGCGGGTGCGGAAGAGGACGAAGCCGTAGCCCTTGGCGCAGCCGGTGGCTCTGTCGATTACGACGTTGCAGTCTTCGACGGGGCCGTAGGTGCCGAAGGCCTCGAGGAGGGCGTCGCGGGTGGCGTCCCAGCCGAGGCCATGGACGAAGACCTTGCGGTGAGAGACGTCGCGGTCGGCTGCGGCGCGGATGCAGGCGGGGAGGTCGGAGTCGGTGGCAGCGGCGTCAAGGAGGAAGCCGATCAGCTGCTCCTTGGTGCAGAGCTCGAGGAGGTCCTGGATCACTTCGGAGTTGGGAGCGGCAGAGGGTCGGTCCTCGTCGGTGGTGCCGCCGAAGAGGACGGGATCGTCGTCTTGGGCGGGGTTCGCGTTCTGCGGTCGCAGCGCCGGGGGTTTCTTCTTACTTTTCTTGGTCTTCAGGGGTCGCCTGCGCTTCTTGCTGTTGTGATTCGTCATGGCGGATGGATGGATGGATTGGAGGAGACGCAAAATTTAGGGTTAGGATTGGGGAAGGAGAGGGGGAGGAGGGGGAGAACGCAGGTGGGTGCGACGCCAAGAGCACCGTGGTGTCTCCGAGACGACTCGGCCGAGTTCTAAGTGTAATTAGAATTGGCAATGAGTTGAGCGAACGAGTCGCATATATACATTAAAATACATGAGAAATTGCTCTGAAAATGATGGCATTACCTAACTAACAGCTCGGATTTGCAACGAAATCCAGCTAAATCGAATCGGCTGGTAAAAGATTAAACCTAATTGATTACAATATTTTGAAAAGGATAAAAGGAATTTTTTTTATTTAGTAGTAAGGAAGATTGTGACTTCATTAAACAAAATTGTAATCTAATTCTAATTAGTTTAAATCTCTGTCGACCTTAAGTGAACTTTCCAATGTGTATTATTGTTTCAATTGGTGACGTTTATTTATTGTTTGGATGGAAATTAAAAAAGATTTGTGATATATTTCAAAATAGACGATAATATATCTTTATTTTTTTTATATAACATTATGATATTAAAAAATATACATAAAATATTATAATATTTATATCTGTTAATGTAGAAGTATGGTAATAAAGAAGACGTAATATTGTCAATTGGATGCACTTTATGGAAACACTAACCGAAACTTAATTAGTCAAAAATTTCGCTAATCTTAATTATTAATTTTTAAATATTTTAAAATTTGATAAAGTGATTGATAGAGAATATTTTGATGGTCAATTCTCACTTACCAAGTTACAGTGATTTTGCCTCGTACCAGCTTATTTACGGCAAAGGCTAATACCTAGATAGAGCCCTAAGTCATTAGCCCCAAAATGATACCATAGTGCGTCCCGATATGCACCGTATCAATAATTGATAATAACCATCATACCTTATCAAGATTAGAGAATGATCGATGGTTTACCTAATCTTATCCCAGGTCAGCCAGTAAAAAAGACCCAAGGATCAGGTATAAAAAGGAACCCCTTAGCTCATGTTGAGAGGGGAGACTCTCTACACACTAACTCAGTCATACAGCTTATATTGCTATCTTCTCTCTTTCGTTGACTTAAGCATCGGAGGGATTACGTTGGGCAACCCTCGGTGACGATCAATCGTGCAAGATCGTCGGCAATCAAGAGACGACCCTGTTGTTATGATACAACATCGCAATCATGAGACAACCCTTTGCCCTAAGACATCCGGACGACTTAGCCCCCTTGGGAGGAACCATGCCACCAGCAAGATCCCAGTCTGCTTACCCAGCCATCCCAAATCGGGTCATCACCGACAAAACCACTTCCGACCGGGCTACCCATGTGATCTCACCTCACCAAGTCTCCCACGTTAGCCAGGAAGAGGCACTTAGATGAGTCTACACCTTTGGTAGTGGACCCATCGTGCCGACTCATCAGTTGATAGTATTCATAACACCATCACCAACTAATCGCCCCAAGGGCATTGATGTGGAAGAAAAGGGTCCAATCATCCTCCCTATCGCTGATGTGAGAGTGGTTATAGCTTGTCGGTCCCTATGGATAATACTCTACGGGAGGTCGTTTAGGCTTGTTCCCCCTTTGTCACCCCTATGGACAAAACGCTAAGGGGAGACGTTGAGGTCATTCTAGAAGGCCCCTTTAGTTAGTCAAGTATAAAAATCAAATCCTGACGTCAGCATAGGGGATAACCTTTTGAAAGATATCTCCTACCCCATAAAAACCCCGGATTAACTTGAGCGTTAGAAAAACTAGATCAAAAAACCCCTCTTGACACTGGCCTTTGTGTAGGAAGTTAAACCCTCGCATCAAAGCCACCGCAAGTCCACTTTAGAGCCATCACAAGTCCATCTCAATGCCACCTTATAGATATCTCGGGGTAGCTTAGAGGTGACCTTGGACATCTCTAAGATTTGAGGTCTGGACCAAGTCAGGCCGACTCAAGTATCGACGGTACTTTCTCTCAACATTTTGGTGCTAGAAAAAGGGCCTAAATGTCCACCCACTAACCCTCTCAACAAACACTCTAGTGAGGAGGCTCTACCCTCAACCCATAGCACCTTTATTCAAGGGGGGTAGCTGCCCTCCTTTTCCCATGTGGATGCATCCACTTTTGCTAGACACCGGGGTATTACCGATGACTATTTAATTGTTGGGAAATCTTGGGGGCGACATCACATGCGCAGCGGAAGAACAAGAAAACAAAATCCCCGATTCCCAAAGAAATGTTCATCGTCGTGCGAAGATTGGTGCGCAAAATCCGCGAAACTTAAAACTGTGTATAGAGTAGATTGTGTTACATAGGGAGATCGTATATCCCTGTTTCCTTACAGATCCTTAGGAGAGGGTGAAGGAGGTCAAGCGTCCTCCTCTCTAGTGGTGATCCACACAGCAGGGCTACGACGACACTCCTCAAAACTCCAGGCCTACTCTGAGGTGGAGAGGGGGAGGAGAATAGGAGAGGCAAGCAAAGGCTCTAAGGCTCTGAATCCCTCCTATTTATAGAGGTCCCCTGTCAAACCCTAATGGGTCCTCCCCTAGTGGGTATTGGATCTGCATCCAATAAGACAAGAGCTTCGTCGGATATCTCATATCTGAACCTCTACTCATCGCAATGCCTACCATATGTGTGTGATCCTCTAGGCCCAATATCGAGCTGGTCGTGAGTCATACCTGTCAGAACTCCTTCTAACTTAGTAAATTATTATCTTTGTAATAATTCACTTGACTCATCGACTATGGACGTACTAGGTCACTACGCCGTAGTCCCCAGACGATACAGGGGAATCCAATCCATTGGACCTGTCTGTCCTCAGTTACCGTGTACATATAGTCCCTCATCCATCTAATATCCCAGAGACCGTATATCAAGCATGGTGCTGTCAGATCCATACGGTTTCTACTCGAGTCTCACTCTAATCGGATTCTCCCGGAGAACTCTTTCTCTCTCAACCCGAATGACTCTGGCTAGGGATTTGTCTGAGCAAAAAAACATGAGATATTCGTCTCATGATGCTGAGAGTGGATGATCCTCTATCAACACTCAATAGCCCTCGTAAGGTCGACTACCACTCCCAATGACCAGCTGTACTAGATCTGGGACAGCCAAACCTATAAGTCTGGTATCAAATAGTGGAGCACTCATATAGGACATCTTTGGTGTCTCAAGTCTAAGGACCAGATACACCACTAGGACTACGGAATCACTGTCTGACAATAAGGCATCATCAATCATCCAACATTTCGTAAGTGGATCAATCAGTGAACACATTCTCCAATGAGCACCTGTACTGTATCCCTAGTGTCCCTACACGAGCAACTATGAGACCAGCTGCATCCATCATATGGACGGGTATACAGCACACCAGTCTGTCCGGTTATTATGATATCCCTCTCGAGTAACCTATGACCGGGATTATTTAGGATCTATGTTTAAAGGTGAATTGATCTCATTATCGTGATCTCATCACGATCCGATTCCGATTGTATAAATCCAAGGACATCACTATATATATATATATATATATATATATATATATATATATATATATATATATATATATATATATATGCAATAGTTATAAAGTGATATATACCAAAATATAATAAGCAAAAAGATTCTGTATCAAGTCACACGTATCATCACTCATGTGATTGGCTTGCTGGGCACATATGACTAGCATTAATGACCCAGGAATTTCACCTCCGAGGATAAATGCGAGACACCTGATTGTTCTAGTCAAAGAGTTTATGAATCTCACTCCTGCTCATGGGCATAATATAGGCTATCGCCCAACTCCTTCCCCAACTAGCTTAATAAACCACATTGTCGTCTCAACGTCCCAACCATCACTAGCACCCATGACCATCAGGATTCCTCCAATTGACATAGCACTGGCAACTTAGGATCATCCTCAACCGTGAAGTTCACCGTGCCGTCACTTTAGTGCCCTACCTTACTCGAATTAAAAACCAAATTGATGGATTCGATGGACGACTCCCTGAGGGCCCAACTACGATAAATGGACTAACGCCTATACGAGATACGTTGAGAGTTCCAACAATCCAAGAGGGAAGGTTCAGTTGATCCCACCTCGGGCCACTCTCCGTTCACTCAAAATATCCGAGAGGACCAATCCCGATAAAATTTTGCCTCCCATCATTGGAAGCTTTTGACGATAATCCAAACCAGTGGAGCATACTATCACCTTTCGCACTCAAATGTCTTTGTATGACACTTCAGATGCTTTGATGTATCACACATTCCCAATAATGCTAAGAGGCTCGATGCGAGAGTGGTAGAGTTGCCTGAAGCCACTTACAATCAGCTCTTTCACTCAGCTCACAAAAGAATTTGAGCTCGACTTCCTCATGAACATATGTTTGAGACCATCTATGGTAATGCTGCTCGAGCTCAAACAAAGGAAGGAAGAAACCCTCTTTGACTTTATTACACGGTTCACTCAAGACATGCAGGAAGCCCACCCATCCCTCGTGATTCAAACTTTTATGATAGGCCTCAGGCCTCTTATTTTTTTTTATCATTGGTGGAGAGGCCATTGATGATAGTGCTCAAGATTCTCCAAAGAGCTAACCAGTACATAACTACAGAAATAATGATTTCAAGGAGGGGATAGCACCTCGGGGCATAAGGCATATGGTCGAGCCACAATAAAAATAAATCCGAGATCAAGAGAATGCGTGAAAATAACTTTCAAAGAAGAAGAGACAAAGTGACTTGATTTGAATCATGACGATGCCTTGGTGGTCTCTATGAAGATGATTAATGCTTTAGGAAAAAGAGTCATGATTGATACATGTAGTTCTATTGATATACTTTATTTCAACGCTTTTCAAAAACTTGGGTTATCGGCTAACAACCTCTCCCCAATAGAGTCTTCACTGATGGGATTCACGGGTGACTTTATCTATCCTTTGGAGACCATAAGCCTACACATCACATTTGACGAGGAACCCTACTCCAAGATAGTGATGACCAAGTTCATAGTGGTTAAAATCCTCTTAGCGTACAATATGATTATAGGTCGACCCACTCTCAATCGACTAAATGCCATGATGACCTATTATATGGTGATGAAGTTCTCAAGGAGGACTG